TATCTACAATTTTAAGATGGAACATCTACAAGGAATAATTGTTTAAAAATATCATCGTTACATTTTTGGTGATTGAAGAATGAGGTAGTTTATATGTAACTTTAATCAAATTTATGTGAACCTATACTTAATTTTGATTAAAAATCAATCATGAAAGTGTCTATATATAGATAATATAATTCACACGAAGAAACATATGTAATATAGATATATTAGATTCTAGCTATTGTATTAAATTTTGTCTGTTTGAAATTAAATGTTCTATGTAGGTGAACTATAACAAATATTATTTTCCCTCTCGGAACGATTGGAAAATTGTACTGAATTTTCAGAGATTGTCATGCACAGGCGAATAGCAATCGGATAGACGTAAAAAATACGAAATAAAATGTAAATTCAATCATATTTTTTGCTTCTACAATTGTTCTATTTGGAGATACAATGGTTTGTAGCGTCGTATAAAATTTCTACCACTTGTATAATAATATTCACATAATAATCTTTTAAACTTATAATACAAAGCAATTATAATAAAAAAATATACTCATTTTTCTATTATAAAACTGAAAACGATCCTGACTGACATTATGTCCGCAATTTTAACATGAAGTACTTAATGTTTCTTAGTGAACATCCTGTTTGAGGAGAGTTATATACAAATAGACCACCTAGTTTTGCCGACTTAGTTCGCAAAATGTTCTATTCCTTCGAGAAGTTTCACCGACCCATTTATTGAGTTCAACAATGTCACTTTACTTACTTTTCCTCGCTGTCTTTATTTAAGATTAAGGTTGACCAAAATTATCATGGTCTACAAAATGTTACGCAAAAAATGTATTAACCTAATTTGTTCTTTGACAAGGGAAAAATTTTGTTCTTAATCTCAAAGATTTCTTTGCAAGCTATGGATGGTGAATTAAGTTTTTTTTTCTGACGTTTAATGAATACTAAAAAAGTTTTAGAACAGTAACTTAAACTGTATATTACTTACAGTACACTTATGATGAAATTGACAACTGCGTAGTTACTGAATAGACTTGACTTTCTATAGTAACGAACCCTAACCACAAATATATTTAGACGGAGAAACGAAAAATCAAGACAAATTGCTTACAATTTACTCTCAGACAACGTTGTTTGTTCTTAATTAAATTCATTTTATTCCATCCTATCCTCTTTATATACCGACACGAGGGAAAAATAAGAATTAATTTGAGCTGAAACGTTCCATGTGTATATCATAAAAGGTTTATTGTGTTTCTTTCAGCTGACAACACCATATTTTTTGTTATAATTACGTACTTATGAATAATTTATTTTGCTTTAAATTATAATAACTAGATAATAACGTTATCATTTATGGGATTGGGTTTACTATATTTATAATGTCATTGATATTGTGTAAGGAAATGCATCCAGATGTATTTCTCAACCAATGCAATCTCAATGAATGGGAACCCGATGCCACATTTTCTAAAGTGTCTAACGCGTGACCGTACAGCGTCATATAACTAAACCTTTATTGATGTATCAATTTACAACCCGACTGTGTCACAGTTTCCTTATTTTATTAGAAAAATATATAAAGAAATTCATAATAAAACTTTAAGTTGTAAAATTTTCCATAAATCCGATTGTTTTACAACTTTATTAGACTTGATAAAATATTCTATAATTGAGAAAATTTTGATTAATATTGTAATACCCCGCAGCCAAATATTTTGTTGAATCTAAATAAAATATTGTGATTATAATCGAGTTCTCCAATCGAAACTCAAATGAAACGAATGATTATTTGAAGTGCGCTTAAAGATGATGGAAAAGGAGGCAATTCCATTTGGTCCACGTTTATTGAAGATGTAAATTGACATCTATTAAATCGAAAAATTAATTGTTTGGTTTACTACGGGTTTGAAAAAATTGATTGGTTGATATACCGTTTTATAAAAAGAAATAAAATCTTTATAAAAATATATATATAAGGCATATATACCACTATTGTAAACATTTACTTCGAACCGAAAATATGTAGTTATAAAGCCGGTGTTAAATTTTACTATCAAAATTAAATATTACACAACTTAATTATTAATGAATAACCAACATAATTCTTGATTGTTTTTGGCTACGGTCAGTATAAAACTAAATAGGCACCAATAGTAGTGAAGTCATTTAAAACAAGTAAACAATTTATTCTACATATACATTTATCTCATGAGCTGTTCTTACAGCTAATGTTTAATATAGATATGAATAATTCTAAAGCCTCGAGGAAAATCCACTTCAGCATAACACTACTATTGTTTATAAGACAAAGACCTTAGGAAACTTGTTACTCTGGTGACTTGTTAACGATGTTATATCAAATTAAATTTCAGTTTCTTACATATAACATTTATTTGTCAGAAAAAACTTAATAGTTTTGTATGAAACAGATCGGAACATACCATAAAAGTATGTACTAAATCTCCTCATGAGATAAAACTAAAAGATTATCCTATTATTTTGTTCATTATCGCTTTAATTTATATACTAAGTATATATTTTTTTGACAGTCTGCTTAAAAAGTTTAATAATTAAATCTAATTAGATCGAAACGGACAGGTAAAGGACATTAGAAACTTCATGATGCAGGAAGTATTCCCTTACTCATTGTCTGTGGTATGTAGCGATGCACCACATTGTCCCGTGTTCGTACTCCGGAACAGATGTTGCTTTAAATAACTATCCCTGGACCAGCAGCTTCAGTCAGGACTTAGTGTTGTGTCGTGTACAAGTGACTTAGACAACCCCAGGTCAAACCAAAACACTAACAACTGCTAATCTGTTGCTCTGTGTATATAGAAAAGTAACGCTTGGTAATGTATATTTTTGTATTAAACGATACTTAATAAATATGTATATATAACCATTTATTTATAAAAATATGATAGCTGTACCATGCGTAATATAGCTTATATATATGAGTTTCATACAGAATACACTCATATCAACGTTTTCAACAAATTAACATTTACAGTTCCATTACACGAACTACGTCAGTAGCTTTAATTGCACCCATGTCTTTGAGTGAAAAGGACATTCGTACAACAAACGATCCTAGTACATGAATACCTAACCGCTTTTGCTATGAGTTAATTATGAGCCTTCTATGTTCAAGCTATCACTGACTAACTATATTTCCTCTAGATACTTCCATTGATCAATTAATTATACTTAAACGTGTTATTATTTGTCACAGTTATGAAAGCACCTGGACTACATAATGAAAATTCTCTACATTTGCCAGTACGTTTTTTAAAGGAAATTAGATGTCTGTCAAATAAAGAAGAAAAAAGAACAAACGACATAGAAATACATTTCTTTTAAACATAAGAAATGAAACAATTTATATATTTACAAAAACACGTGTAAGAAAAACAAAAATGTCCTTTGAAATATTCAATAATATAAACGTAATAATAGTACATACGAGTAGGGGAAGAAAATTTCGTACAGGGGAACTACCCACACAAAGGGGAGCCGTCGATTTGAGATCATGTTTACCTGATGCTGAATGTTATTTGCCATATGAGTAGAACCATTATTTGGGAAATAGGTGAGTACATCATGTTTATTACTCGCTCTCAATACCGCTGACATCCAAATAATCCAATATCGCATTTGTTATCTATGCCTTTATCTGGTTTTATTAAGTTTTATTTTCTCTACGCCTCGCTTTCATTTCCTTTCAGATTCAATAAATATCAAAAGATTTATTTTGTTGCCACTTCTATATTGTACGTTGGTCTTTACTAAATATATTATTACATAAAGATTACGTAATATTGATTAGAAAAGTATTATTATGTAATGATTTCATCAGAATTAATAGCAGTTTTGATGTGTTTCCGTAATTTGTTGTATTATTTAGCGAGATAGCGGCGTGAGGGGAGGCTCGCGCCGATCGATAGCTGCTCAGTTGGTAATATGACTACTACTAGGTAAAAAATGAAAACGTTCATCGTTTTCCTTGCTGTTTTAGAATTGACATTGGATGTATTATTAATTAAATAACGGGGAAACGAAAAAAATGTCTTCTTCGTAATTTTTAACACTTTTTCCTTGATAATTATTATTTTATACTATTAATAATATTTGAGAAACATGTACGTAACATGTAAAGGCGTTAGTTTAATTAGAAATGTGATGTAATCACAAGGGTATTCGAAAATTTGTATTCCAAAACTAACTAAATTGATGATTATTTATGGAGACAGAAATTACAATTTTAATGAATAATCAAAAACATATTGCGTATTTCCCTAAAGATTAATAATTATATCAGTATTTACATAGACAGATGAATTTTTTTATTGTGGCTTTGTTTTAAAGTCAAATAAAAATAACATTATCCTAAAGATGATATTAAATTTATAACGTTGAGGCAATTATAGGAATAGGCGTTATGTTTTTGTATTAGGTATTCTAAAAGTTTATTTTGTTGGAGTAGATATAAGCATAGCCTATAAATTCTATATAAATTATACGACGCCTACGAGTCTGGGATGAGATTAGACTGCTGGAGTTGTTTTGTTCCATGATTACTTGTTTGTTTGAGTGATATTATTTTTAAAGATAAGATTGTTATTGAAGTAGCCAATTCATTTCTTGAGTATTAGTTGTGTTATCTTAAATATTTCTTATTAATAAATGTAAATGTGACAAAAATTAGGTCAACCCACAAAAATGTTGCTATTTAAAAATGTATATACTACTAGCTTTCCGCCCGCAGCTTTGCCCACGTGGAGTTCGGTTATATCGCGTTTCCAAGAGAACCTTTCAAAAGTCTGGGATAAAAACTATCCTATGTTCTTTCTCAATGTCAATTCTATCTCTGTTCCAAATTTCATTAAAATCAGTTCAGTGGTTTAGGCGCGAAAGCGTAACAGACAGACAGAGTTACTTTCGCATTTATAATACATAGTAGTAGGGATTAATCTCTCTTTTAATATATAAAGATGGGGTTTAAAAAGAGGTTGCACAGAATTACAAAAAGAAGAATCTCACAGCATTCAGAAGAGAAGGGAAGCATCCATAATTTGATAACTGCATTCGAGTGTGTGAGTAGAGTGCTGCTAAATCTAGCACCATTCGAATTCAGTGCTCGAATTTGGATGAACTACGATGAAGATTGGATGAACGTGGAAATGGATGAAACGGAAGACCTTCAAGGATATTAATAGTGTAAAAATATATCAGCATATTTTGAAAAAAAATCGTCATGTAGAATTGAAGTTATTTGTTAAATAATATGTAAGGTTTCATTATAATATATATTTTTATTAATTTTATATGAATTCTTAGATAATTATAGTTGATAAACTTTAATAATTGTTCATAAAAGATTGATTTCCATAGATTCCAAACTTAGATGTATGATGAAACTGATATTTTTCGGATATACTACAAGTGCTTTATTTACAAAAATATTGGTTTCATTTAAACGAATAAAACTCTCGAAAGTCTTAGATCTCATTATGAGATTAGCTGTAAGAAGATGCATTGTAGTTTGTAAACACATGAGTAATAAAAATAAAACAATATTTATCAAGTCTGTGTTTATTCTTTGATAACTCCTTAACTAAGTGCATAAATAGAAAACCGTTATTTACAAAATATTACAACACGACAGCCTGCTGCCATCTTGAGGATAAGTCATGAATTAATCCACACTTACTCCAGCTATATACAAGGAAAAAAAAATACATTCAACATTTGATACATCGTTACAAAAGTCAATATTAAAATGTTAATAATACCAAGTAAACATTTGTTCGTGATCGGACTTAAGGATAAAAGATAAATTTAATTAAATCAAAAAAGTTATTAAAAAAATATACAACTATTCGTTTCATATAAACAGTTAGAATAAGGGAATCCTTTTTATAATCAATAAGCGAAACACTAAAAGTAAATAAAATTAAGGAACATAAAATGAATTTATCAAAAAAAAAAAACTTAATTACCAACTATATATACATTTATTAATGTGTATTGTGCAAAGCGCATTAACTGAGGTAATAACTTAGTGTGTAATGGTGACTAATAATTGACTACATTTAGAGAACTCGTATACCCAAAGCCTTAACAGAATTGTCATGTTAGAAACTTCTATATGAATACAAACCAAAATATACTTTATATCGTATATATAAAGTCTATATTGGCGTAATTATATCACGACGCCGCTCCTCGTGATGATTTTAGTCTGATCCTTGGTCTTTTCTTCGTCAGTTTTGTGTTTCGTCTGAATCTTCTTCCACGTATCACCTAAAGCTTTGCTGAAGTGGTCATCAACGCCTTTGGAAGTCTGTGATTTATCGTTTCTAGACGTCTGTATCTGTTTCCAAGTATCGCCGAGTGCTTTAGCGAAGTGATCGTCCACTGACATACTCGCGTCATCAACTTCCATAGCTATTATTTTAGTTGGTTTCTCTATAATGAACTGTATGGGACTGCTGGCTCTGTCTTTTGTGTTCGGCTTGGGAGCTGTTGCGTCCTTTTTGAATAGATTCATGTAATTATCTCCCAGAGATCGTCTGAAGTGTTCGTCTATAACAGGATCGCACATTGATAGTGACCCTGAGAGAAAAAAATGCTTTCATTAATATAATATAAAGGATTAGGACCTTGTTATATTCTAGGCCTGTATTAAGTAGTGACATCTAAGACTCTGACGAGTATTCATTTAAATAAAACATATATTTTCGGATCTCTACGCATTATTTTATAATTTTAGATGGCACAATCCTGATGTTTCGATTACTTTGTAATTAAGTAAACCGAAAATATTAGTTTTATCGATATTAAGTACATTTTTGTCTACATCTATATATTTTTTTGTTATAATGATATAATTGTTCAAGTGAATTCAAGAAGCTTGTTAAACATAATCGTATTACGCACAATCCTATTATCCTGGCTTTGATTGTTGGCTAATGTGTCGGAAAAATATCATAGTAGTTTGTAGGACAGTATTACTAATTGTGTTTTTCATTTAACAAAATTAATTCCAAACATAGCTTTAATAAGGATTTTTTCTTTAAAGTGATTATTAATTAAAAGTAGTTTTCTGAAAATTTATTATAGTAAACTAGCTTTCCGCCCGCAGCTTCGCTCGCGTGGAGTTCGGTTACATCGCGTTTCCAAGAGAACCTTTCAAAAGTCTGGGATAAAAACTATCCTATGTTCTTTCTCAAGGTCAACTCTATCTCTGTACCAAATTTCATTAAAATCAGTTCAGTGGTTTAGGCGTGAAAGTGTAACAGACAGACAGACAGAGTTACTTTCGCATTTATAATATTAGTAGGGATATAATATCTTACCAGGTGGAGCATCATTTGTCTTTATAACAGAGGGTCGTGTGTAAGGTGGAGGAGCGGGCCGAGAGCGAAGTCTCATGTCGATTGGTGCTTCATGTTTTACCCCAGGGTACTGAGGCGGCGCTGTGGGTAATAAAATATTATTTAATACTTCCAGTGAGACTAAAAACAAACAAATTATGTACATTTTCTATAACTACCAACTATAGGAGCTATATTGAAGGAAATTTGTAGATTATAAATTTAAATGATACTAATATTTTTCGTATATACTACACGTACTTTATTTTTTGATATTCACTTCTCGTCTGCCCGTGAACACGGTTGCTGAAAAGTAACCGAAACGTCGCGAGTATGTAGTTTTTTACAAAAATAAAGCACGCGTATGTAGTATATCCGAAAAATATTAGTTTCATTTAAATGAATACTCCCAATAATCTAAGATCGGATTATAAATGATAAAAATCAATGAAAATAAATTGATTAATAAATAACAAATCGATAGGTATTCAGGTTAAATCGATATTTCAATCAGCCATCACTATAGATACAATAAAGTTTCAGGTAAACGCAATCACTGCTAAGTTAAACGAATAAAGTTTATCTATTCTGTACCGAATGCAGACGTCGTAAATCCATTAATTAGAGATCTCGAGTCGGTTTACTTGTGGTTTATACAGAGTAATAGTTTGAAGATGTGGCTTGAATATAACTTATTACATTATAGTGGTGGATAATTAATTAATTTATCGATAAAAATTTATATGTTAAGTTTATCGTTTAATAATATCTTATATTAAAAAATGAACGATTAATTTGTTTAAATAATTGCATGAATAATTGGTTTCTTTATTCCCTCTTTACGTAGATACTTAAAATTATGTTCCAATACACAAATTAAAGCAATAAAGTATAACTGACACTTAAGAAAGCAATTTGTGGGGAAATAATAATTAAAGACTTAATGTGTCTTATCTTCGTTTGAAATTGTGATTAACTTAGTATTCAAATAATTCCACTTGTTTCGAGAGTAATATTAATGAGATATAAAACTGTTTTAATAGGAATCTAGTAATACAATTTTAGTTACTCAAAGTTATTTGTAGATAAGTGTTTTGTATTTAACAATGATTACAGTTCATTAGGAATAATGGATACATAGATGTTGGAGATCGTATAATAGATTTGTACAAAAAATTGTATTAAAAAGATAACATTCAGCATAATAAATAAATTGATTCTAAGTCAAGGAGAAAAAGACAATAGACAACTTTTTATTAGAACGATTGAATTGTATCAATTGTTTACAATCTATTAAATGAAGACAACTGATATCTACAACTAGATCGTGTGAATGCAACTAACATTTACCTAATAGATTTGATGGATACAACTTACAATTGTCTGCGAAATTGCGCGAATAAAACTGGCATATACCAACAAGAACTTGTAGGCAGAATTTGATTTATCAAATAGATAGTTTCAATGTAACTGACCTCTATCAACTAGGTAGTATGAATTCAACTAACATCTACTAGCTACATCATCTAAACATAAGTGACATTTACCAACGAAATAATGAGAATACAAGAGACTTCTATCAACTAGACCTTGTAGATAGAACAGTGATCTACAAACTAGATAGTTTGAATGTAACTCACATCTATGAACTAGATCGTGTAAACACAACTGACATTTATCAACTATATAGTGCGAATACAAGTGACTTCTATCAACTAGACCTTGGTAGATAGAACAGACATCTACAAACTAGATAGTTTGAATGTAACTGACATCTATGAACTAGATCGTGTAAACACAACGGACATTTACCAAGTAAATAGTGCGAATAGAATTGACTTCTACTAACTAGAACTTGTAGATAGAACTGGCATCTAGAATCTAGATATAGTCAACTAACCTCTAGTAACATCGTCTATCTCATCTGATAGCTCTCCGTCACTGTGCGTGGTGGTAGCTCGAGTCACCGCCGGTGAAGTCCGCCGCTCATTAAACGACTGCGACCGTAACGCCATCTTGCCGTTCTCCCTGGAAAATAATCGGTAATCTAAATTTATATAAATAGTTATTAGGGAATTTAAGATGAATATAATTTATTTTTCTGGCACAAGTCAATGTTATTCTCGTGTAACTTTTATTAAATCGCTATCAACTATTCCGTGCACCTATCGCATGTAGCGTTACATAATGTTACGGAGTAGAGGTAATGTGAAAGATGTTGTGCAGAGTAGCCAAGACCTTCACGGCGGACTAAATAGTTCTTATTACTTGACCGTCTTGAATTTTATTTTCTTTCGGTAATGTTAAACCCCCGCGATAATTGTAAGATTTGATTAGTGGTTTTATTGAAAAAAAATAAACAAAACACACACAATATTTTTTTTTTGTATTCGTACTACATATGTTACGCCGAATGAAATTAGAAAGTATAGTTTCAGTTAATTTCTAAAAATCTATCAATTTTTGACCGTGTCTTTGTACCTAAACCCATTTTTTTAATCTAATAAACTTTCAATTGTACATAGTTTCACGAAACAAACATCTTTTTGAAATTATACATATTAACTTCAAATTTAATTTGCATATAATACAAAAACTAGATCGTAGTCCAAATACACCGCCTTCGCGGAAATATTTTCATGCATATATTAGTATAATTTAATATGTGATCTAAAAATAATACCACCTTACCGCCTTAATTTTTTTACCAGAAATTTGTATTGATTTATTTTAATACATGTCTATTATAGAATATAAAAAATATATAAGTTTCAGTTCGTCATCGTCATCAGCCTATCCAGAGCCCACTGCTGAGCAAAGGCCTCTTTCTCACAAGTTTTAGTTCATATTGAGATAATGATTAATTGTTTTATCACTTTAATTTTACATTTCTAACCTTGGTCGGTATTCGGGTAGACGAGTCGATCGTCGCTCGCGTCGCCACTTGCCGGTTAACTCTTTAGGTTGGTCGCGAGGCGCTTCAGGCGAAAGAGTACGATCCCCTTCTGACTCTCCACTCGACGCTGTGCTGGGGCTTTCTGGAAATATATGGATTTTCTTGATATATATACAATATCTAAACGAATTTTAATTATCTTGGTGTTATATTTATGAGTAATAATGAAATAAAACAAAGAACTTGTGGCACACAATTTACTGCTTCAACGTAGACTGACAACTGACACAAACATTATTTATCTACCTACTATCTGAATTTGTTACAAACACTATACTTAGAGAAGAGATTTGAGTCCGGAATCTTTCACCAAATGCTTTTTATCACTCGCGTAAAGTTTTTATCGCTAATAGTTAATAAAGAAACCAAAATTAATTCTGATACTTAAAATGTATATTATGAAATATTTCTTCGAATATTTTATAATATATATTAACCACGTTTAAGCATTTATCAATTTCGTATTTGGTTATTAGTTATCACGTTTCATGAAATGTTAAATACGTTACGGATTGTTACACGGACATTAAAACTTGCAATACCTTTGCTTTGGTTTGTCTAGTAACACTACTTAAAACGCCTATTAAGGATTTGTTCCAACAACGTTCCGTGAAGATACAAAACAATTCATTCATAAAATTTCTTCTTAGAGTTTATGGTTGTTTTTAAATTTATTTATATATTAACGATTTTGAAATTGAGCACATTTTCATAGACATATTAGTGATGCCAAAAACCAATGATAAAATTTCACGAACTATTAAATACTTTTATCTACCTTTTTGCGATGACGACATCCATGGTTGCCATAAAGGAATATTAAACTTGGGTGATTGAGGAGGTTCCATTGAAAGGGAATGAATTTGGTTGAACGAGGTCCGAGCCAAAAGTAGCAAATACGACGGAAATTCCATTATCACAGCACCATTGATAAATTAGATTCGACACACAAAATCATAACATTTTATAAATATCACTATTACGAAACCACTATCATGAAATATTGTTTCACTTCTTAGTCCTAAAAGGCCACAGGATATAGAGGAATTAAAGCGATAGCTAAAGACAACACATTGGCTTCCCAGCACAGGTAACACTGAAGGTCGACTGAATAAAAAACGAGCTGGAAGAGATTACATTGGAATAAATAAATGAGATGAACAAAAAATAATCCGAAAAGGAAAAAGAGCATGCTACATCCACGCGGCCGGACGTTGCGGCGCTTCCTTCGTTCAAACCACGATATACAGGCTGTTCTAAATGCATTCACCATTAAGACAGATCATTAAAGTCCGACACTGTTCGTCAATAACAAACGCTACTTGTTTTGTCCATTGTTACACTTACTCGGAAATATGCTGATAAGCGGCATCGAGAGCGCGACCTTCCTATGACCTCATCTTGTTTTTAACAAAGGAAATGTATACATTACGAATTATTAAGTCAACGACCTTCTTTTGTATTTTCGATGTCCCCTTTCATAATGACACGATATCAATGATTTTGAAATGAATGTTGAATATTTTAAAATTGAACACTATTTGACACATTTTTATATTTAAATTGTTTATTTTTTTTGTTATCCTCTGTGCGTTATTAATTTCATCATACTGTGTATGAAATCTTCAACCTGTTCGCTCCATTCATGAAAGTGCGTGAGCGCAGGGCGCGGGGATTAATGAACGATCCACTCTCCTCTCTTCCGTCGCCCATACAGCCTCTTTCGATCGACTTTAGACTCTATTCCAAACCAATAAGATCGGATTGATAGAAACAGCCTGATAAATTAATGCAAGCATCGCAATTTGCATTCTATTCAGCTGTATATTTGAGTTCAAAATCACAAGCGAAATGAGTGTTAATGATCGAGTTTTAAATTACGGTGGTTGTATCCTTGGAAGGTTGTGTTTTATTTTGATGCGGTGTAGGAGAGGGGGGGGGGTGAGATCTGTGAGAAGTTGCCGCGCTCTCTAGCGTATAGGCATTAGCTTTTTTATTGTCTAATAGAGCGACGGTAAAGGGCTGCCGACAGGTAGACCGAGGTTGGCGCCGCTAGAATAATTAAAGTCTGGAATTAATACCATCCGAGTTCAACTTTTATTAACTTGGAATACTTTAATGTTCCTGGAAAACGATGTATTGCAATTTAAAATCGTGACATGTTAGTATTCGTTTCTCTTTATATTTAATTTAACTTCTGCATTAAATATACGAATGGCATCCAAAACCAACTTTTAGTTACAACATACGCTTTACGATTTACTCACTTGGCGTCCTATTGCTAATAGTTGGTTATAAATAATTTATGTAAGTACAAAATGGATATCCTGTGTGCATTCAATTATAATAGTTTTTAAATAAATACCTCAGTTTCATATACCCGCTATTTCAATGATCATCTAATTACTTTAGATATGACGCTAAAGGAAACATATTTTAAAATGCTCGCGTAATTTACAGACGGCGTTTTATTATAGGATTGTTATATATTTTTTGTACGACAGCGCACTCAACCGAAGCGCCAAGATACCTGACAATGAACGTCAAATGAAAATTATACATTTGGTAGCTGTGTGATAACTTAAATGAAAATTATATAATTATTGATTTAAGAATTAATTTATTCGCGACATAAACATTTTATGACATTATTATATTTTGAAACTGTTTAATCATGTGCATATAAATAGTCTTTAAATCTGGTTATCAAATGAGACCGCTTAAGATATATAAAAACGTTTTGGCTCCAAACAAGTCATGTTAATCGTATAAGTGCAAAGGAATTCAAAGGATGTGCTTAATTAAATGGTTGGAATGCAGTGGAACTCATCGGAGCGTGTAAGCTTGCTTGGCGAGCGTAGTTTGTTTTGTACTACATATGTATGTATTATGTTATTTATAAAGGAATCAAGGGAATATGGAACTATATGTATACTATTATGTTTCATACATATATAAATGTATTGTCTACACTCTACGGTAATTAGCAGTTTATATGACTTGTAGTCATTTATAGAAACGACATCAATCCTTTTATATTATATATTGGATAAAGAGTGATAAAAATAGAACAAATTGACAGTTATTAAACGATATATTATAACTAACGATGGTAAATAGAAACAAATTAATTATTTAGATATACTATTAGTCTATTACGCTTCCAAAATAAATGCAATCGTTATTAGTACTATCGATATCAAAACAGTAATCATTTTTATAAGAAATAAATTGGAATTAAATTGAAAATACTTTAAAAAACAGCACGGTTTAAACGTTTTCGTATATCGATTCATTAATATCTTACGTTATAAATATTTATACATCCTTCGCCGTCGGCTGTGTTCGAGTAATTCGGGAGGCGCATGCGCTGGCCGGTTCTGCTCGGGGGCTGGTTATTCGCACGCACATATTATTGACTATTTTATTCAAAGGGGAGCCGAAATTAGGGTAGCTTCCCATTTATGTACCATCGTTGAAGATAGCTAGCGTTATATTGATATGGGTTTCATTCAAACATAAAATAAAACCTACTTCCCAATGATACTTTGATAGTATTTTTTTAGTAAATTTAATATGATATTTTATATTAAACTAGCTTTCTGGGAAAGTCTGGGATAAAAAATATCCTATGTTCTTTCTCAATGTCAACTCTATGTCTGTACGAAATTTCATTAAAATCAGTTCAGTGGTTTAGGCTTGAAAGCGTAACAGACAGACAGACAGAGTTACCTTCGCATTTATAATATTAGTAGGGATGTATGTATTAGAAATCCTATGTTAATATTTAAAGTATGAATCTAATTATATTTAAATTGTGGATCGCGTGGATCGGTAGCTGCCTCCGTGGCCGTGGGCTGGTCGAGATGAAATAAATGACGACGTTTAACTAAAACGTAATTACGCATGCATGCCTTTGAGGATGCGTGCACGAAACAGTAGCCAGTGACAAGTTTTTTTTACTCGTTAAATCTTCGAGACGAGATTTATAAAAAGGACGTAATAACAACTCGTCAAGAATATAAACGCGTAAACACAAGAGTAGATAGAGATTTTGTATATATAGAACATATTGAATGTCTTAATGAAATATGTATATATGTTGTTATTTAAGTATATAGTTATTATCTGAATGTATCTAACAATGTTTGCTCGTATTGCGGAAGACGGATGTTTATTGCGAAAGTGAGGGAAGAGCTCAAACATTCCGCATTCCACATAACAGTGCCAGCACAAAATAATACTGAATAGATTTATGTATAACTAAAGATCCTTACTATTGCGTACATGAAATTCTAATGAAATTTACTATACAATTATAAAAAATACCATTATATTTTCATTCTTAATTTGTTCAAATTTAACTTTTAGAATATATTATTAATTTTTTGATACGTTTGTATATTGGCAACCAGAGTCATCTTTTAGTAAGTTTGAAAATCAAAATGCTCTCACTAGCGCTATCTCGTGATTCCCTTTAAACTAACGCGACACTCTCCAGAGGGAAGCACCTTCACTGTATTGTATATTAAATGTGTATGAACTATAGATATAAATTATCACAAATGTCACGTTATTTGTAATTACAGTAAACATTTATATAATCGAAGTTTTAATTATTTTGTCACTTTATTCATGAGTAATTAAAATATTTAATGAAGTTATTTCATTCGCAGAATTTATACCGTTGCATTCTTATGACATAACTTACAAATAAATTTGAAAATTCGTACATTTAAAGGTTTAATTTCACTTAACTTAAATAGAAATGATTCAACTTAAAACAATTTTTAAGTCTATGTCCACGCCCGGTTATGTATATACGACCTTCGCGTTGCATAACAAAATAGCACCATGTACAAGCGTACGTGGCAGCCCTGACATGGTTTGTCATAAGGGGTAACCCTAACTGGATGTGCCTTATTACTTTACGAAGATAAGTGCAAACCAATATTGAAATTTCTTATCTCACAATATCACAGTTACAACACGATTATCAATAACAAAACTACGTTAATAACAGATATTTTTAACCTAGAAATGATAAGGCGTATAAAAATTAACCTATTTTGGTTTAAAATATCGTAACCGCCAGACATTTTGTCTAAATGACTAAGCGACATACCGCGGCGTTGCATCACTGTACATGACTATGTAGTGTTATTAAGAATTTTATTATCGTCTGCATTCAGTACATGGCAATCATTTTAAATGGCGTAAACATCCGAGCGCCTTCGATTATACGATAAAATTCCAGGGGTCAAACGAGAGGACTTTGAGCTCTTTGAGATTCCTATCGCGATTGTGGTATTTTAATAGTGACAAACATGCGTGTGATAGATGAAATTGTTGCATACAAATATTAAAGGATGTAGAAAGGAATGTGATTGGAGAACAACAGATATTTCTTAAGCTCTTTCTTCTAGCTTAGTCTTCTAAGCCGATTTACAAACGTGAATTTTTTAAACTACTTATATTCTATTTAAAATCATGTGTTGTCTGTGGATATGTTAACGATTTTATATTTGTTCTGCCCGTAATGTTGGTGAGGGACTGTTTTATTGTATATTAATGAAAATAAATAAAGTTTCAAGTGAAAATAGACTGAGTAGTATGATTTAAAGGAAAAAACATATAAACATTACAATATAATACCACTAAGAAAATAATTATGATTTCTATTCTATTCTACGAAATAACAATTCTTAAAAACTCCAATATAGTTTACGTATTCCGTCGAAACCGGCTCTAAGACTCTTTCACTTTTGTTAGACTAGCGTCCGTCTAGGCGACTGTAGTGATTAAAATATTTCCAAATTTTTTTTTCCAATGCGGATCGTTAAACGACATTTGACGTAACATAAATAAATATGAATACCTAAACTGAACACGATAACCTTGAAATACTTGCAGCGGCTTGGATAAAAGAAAATTTAAATCCAACAGTATGTATGCGTATCGCTAAATAGTTATATGTATTGTTCATTTGTTATTAGTGAATTAGATCATTGAGACAATACAAGACGTTCCGAATACTTCGGATAGCATCACTCTCGCTGCCAACGAAATGGAATTCCTAATGAAATTCTACACTACATGATCTACAATACATCTATATTCTATATTATAGATTCCTTCAATGTATCACGTGGTCTGTTAGACCGCTCCTTCTTAATTATTACGATATTGTTGAAGTATAGGTATTTACAAAGATTGTCTTATTGTTAATAACATAATATGTGGCATATTGAGAAAAATATTTTATATATAAATCCTAGTTATTCTGAAATGTTTCATACAAATATAGATAATGTAACAGTGAATCGAAATTTTTGATATTTTACTAATAATTGTATGAAAATATTTTGAAATCTTGTCTTATATTGCATAAAATTTTTGGAATTAAATTATTATTTGTAGATTTCAAATAAATAGTTATTAGAACTACAAGTACCAACCACACCTAAATTTTGTCGTAAAAATAAATCAGACTTAATTTGAAATGCAATTAGGAATAACAACATAAAGAAGAGAAAAAAAATGAAAAACCACAACTTTTCGTATATATAATAATTATATATGAAGTTGAAAATAATTGCAATTTATCGTGTTCAAAAATTACATTTTTAAATTTGAAAAAATAAGTTAAGACACAAATAATAATAAAGATTTTTAAGCTAAGTATATCACTTATTTTATTTCATTTATTTATTAACTTTTCCAAACCAGAAAATATGACGAGAAACGAAAGTATAAATTAGAATAGCATGAAAAAGCGACTACTGTTGTTCTTTAGCTTGCAATTTTATTAAGGATGCAAATATTCTAATGATGTTTTCAATATTGATTGTATGATATTTAATAATTTATAATGACAACAATAGCAATAGATGATTGCATTCCGTAAAATGTTAGTAACTGTAGTCCGCAACGCAACCTACATTCAGCATTCTTTTCGAAACCGTAACACGCCGCCTCAGCGTTCCGGATACAAATGCTCACGCCATATTAACCTCTATTACATCTCAATAAAATCCATTTCACAATAGAATTAACATCACAATATCAGGTATTGAATTTATAGAGAGCTGTATACAGCTACATACATAGCGTATGATGATTGATCAGGGTTTACTTAGACGAGATTTCGAACGAGACCTGGTTTGGAATAGACGATGGTATTGTTAGCAAGAGATACGATGTTTTGAAGGTGTATATCTTGGTTGGAAGGCTGGTGACTCCGAATGGATTCTCGGACGAATTCCTCAACGCTTTCTCCAGCTCGGACGCACGCAGCAACGAAAGTAAAGTCCAATGCGGCGCATCACATTGCATAATTATTTGCGATCCAACAATTGTTTGTAAACAGAAGAATACATCATTGGATGTGTTGCGTGATCGTATTTTTAGTAGGCATCTAATTATTTGCGGCAAACTGTGAGATATACATATATGTATTTACTTAAACATCTCTAAGTAGTGAAAACTAATTTTATAACGTTTAGATTTAATTCTATCTAATGTTAGGTTTGCATACTTTTGACAATATACGTGGTAATTTTCAAGCCATTAAGTATGTACTATGCATTATAATTTGGCAGAATGAGATCTTTATCTATATGAGAGACAAATTAATTTCACCAACATGCCTCCGCGTCTTATTCAGTAATAGAGAGCAACGAGTGTTACTTTCTCATGAAGTTAGAGTAATTTTAATTAAAACCAACTTCAAAACAATTACCGACATCCCCACAATAGCTATTAGATACGATTCGTTTAAGACCCCGTGTTATCCGGACATGACGCTTGACTGCGTATTAAAAAAAAGCAATCTTTTACGATAGGATTGACAGTACGGAACGATCACGACAGAGGGATGTACGGTTTAATGGAAGCCTTCATCGCGAAACCAGTGTTACAACTTACAATGGAAGCATTGTTCTTGTTGTAAACGTTCTACTACCAAATATTGTTAAATATAAGGATAACCTTAATATGGCTAGTCACGGTCAGAATACAGAAACGATGACATATCGATTGAAATATTTATATCGATTAATCGTTTTTATGACAATAGCGTTTTAGCTTGATATAAAATAAGGTGAAAACTATGTAGACATAACACTTTGATACGAATTCTAATTAGCACGTTAAAGACACTATCAACAAAAGCTTTTCTTAAACATCGATACCGTGTTAAAATGATATATAATTATCTATAATTGTAATAATATCAAACAATTTCTTCTTATTTATTTTTATTCGGACATCGTAATACATGTCAAGAGAGGATGGCGATTAACAATGTCAGTTGGCATGTGGAATGCGACCCGCCTACAAGGCCGGTCTCTATATCTATTAGTGTTAACTATGGTCACTATACCAAATATACTAATGTATATAAAAAATAATATATTTTTGAAATATTCAACAATATATTATAATAAATTTTAATCCTACTCTCCATATTTACATTACTCGACAAACTAAAGAACCAGATTTTTTAAATACATTTTTCTGATATTGATTGTAATTTAAAAAAAGTATTACATTTGGTTACATAAATATTTGTATAAATAAAAAATAATAGGCTTTTTTTGTTGAATACACAAGTTTTGAAGTAGAAAATATTCAAGAGGGAAAAGAGAAGTATATTTTGAGATCTTAGTCTTTCACGAGTATTCATTGAAATTAAACTAATATTTTTCGGATTTATTACGCGTTTATAATTGTTTTATCTTCATACTAACGACTTTTCGGTTACTTTTCAGCAACCGTGATCACTTACAGACGAGATGAGACAAAAATATCTAAGTTAGAATTCTTTAGCATTTTTCAATAATATGAGAGATATCGTTTGATAATATTGTTTTTCTTAAGTTATTAGGTATTTTCAATGTTTTTTATACTCACCAAAACTGTCTGTATCACTAGCTGGGTACGCTGGACAGGGCTGAACCATTGTCGCAGCACGAGATAAAACATCGAGGGCTGACTCCACTTTCTCCATAATAATCTAAAATGTAGGATATAATATTAAAATATAGTATCAAAATAATCAATTTGATAGATCGTACTGCAGTTTTAAATCATTGTTTTACATTATAAATAATTTCCATTATTATGTTATGTGTATTGTATTTTGTATTGCACTTCATTTGATATATAAAAAGTAAAAACTGTTTAATTACTTTTCTTAGGTTATATTGTGTTGTTTTGTTAATGGTAATTTGACCAGCCTATATATTTTATAGGCGTATATTAATTAGAAGCGACGTTCAGTTATTATATAATCTCTTTTGTTTTCTTCCACCAATTTATTAAAGGATACAATATTATACCATAATATATTAGTATAAAAACTATATAAGACAGTTGTTGTATCGTCACTTATTGTATTGGGATTTTTACATTTAATATAAAGATACTAGTTTTCTGAAACAACATTTTTTATAAAATCTGGTAAATTTTGCTTGAAATATCTAACTAGGATCAAATGGTAATAAATACTTTGACATTGGTATAATGTTAAACAAAATCTATAATGAATTACGCTTAGGTTAAAAAACATTGTAGTGACAATGTTCTGATCGTACTAAATCTGGCGTTGTCATAAGCGGAAACAATATTTGTCTGAGCACGTAAAAATATTTGGCTCGACGTATGAATGTCGCTTCTGTAATACGTATAATGGCATGCAAATAACTAAGCGAAAATTCCATGGCACGTAAACGGCTAGACTGAGGACAGACGTGAGCTTGTAGTGTAAATAAGAGTAGATTCTTACAACGAAATCTCTCGTCCCAATATAGGTACATACAGTATACATACCACACGGGAACACAGCCAAGGGACCAGTAGTATAATGTTATACCATTTGATTACTGACACAAATATTTCAGTTGACACATGCGTTACGTCGACGTTATGCCGTTTATCTATTAGGGATGTTTAAAATCATTCAACGTTTAGTTAATTAAATAGTTTATTGTTTTATCAGTACTTAATTGTGTCAATCGATTAAGACTTATCGTTATAAATTAAGGGCATTACAAGAACATCGAAACGTGCATTAATGTAAGGTATGTCGACATGTGTGAGATATTCGTTCCAAAAATTTCTTTGTATGATGCGTATAAAAAAATTTGGATAGTGCGTTGACTGTCCTAATGATGTGGAATTTGGTACATTAGCCACAATAGAATTTTTCTTGGAGGCGTCACGAGGTACGGTATGGAATGTCCGACTAGACCGGTACAAACAAATGATATATAAATTCTTCTTAATATATTATGTTTTGTTAACATATTTAACATTTTTCTATAATGATCTCGTTGATAAATGTGCATTCTTTAGTTGTCTACATCGTGTATTACAATGCTACCAACTATTAGCTTCGTTCAAGTACTTAGATGTGTTTTAAATGTAATATAATTTTAATAAATCCTTATAATGATTTACTGTGAGCTTCTATGGGCACGTATCCGTTGAGCGGAACAGGAACTAGTTATTATGTACGTATAGTTCTTTACATTTCTTATGACGTACGTTTCAAACTATTCACTATAGTTTGCGTTATATATGAACTATTTTTTAAACGGAAATAAAGAATTGTTTACTTAATTTAATTTTACTTTTTTTCATACCTATATGTATATTGTTATTTAATATTGAGTAGATATGGTTAAGGAATTTTGACTGTTGATTGATTTCATTTATATCTATGTCGAACATAAAAAATATATGTAAGTATACTTATTTGTACTATTATAGCACTCAGTTAAACATTACATTACATTAAATATAAATGTATACTTTTTAATTTCATATAAGTACAATTATATGAAATTTAAATATACCTACATAGATTTTATTCAACTATCCAACAACGTAATTGTCAAATAATTATATTTACGAAAAATATATAAGGCATTTGAAAATCCCTTAAAGAGAGTCACACGATGATCGAACCTTGACATTCCATGCGGTAAAAATAATAATCTATTTCAGTACAACAATATTTTAAGCCAAATTAAACTTTTGAGCGACGTAATAAGGTTCAAAACGTGATAGGATTTATAAGGAATGCCTGCATTTGGGGTGCCCGTCTTTTACGACCGTTGCCACCCCTGCTGTGCGCCTGCGCACGTGTCTTTGAAGGGTCGACCCAGCAGATGTTCGACTCCGAAAGTTATAAGGCTGCCGGCTGGCCACTCGAAATTCTATAGCAATAGGGTCTTTACAATGTATGAGTAAGTTTCCTATAACAAATACTACCGAGCATGTGTGTGTACATATTAGAGAACGCGTAAATCGAAAATATTTCTTACATATTTTACTTTATGACTTTTTGAATAAATCTTATATAAGTATAACAGTATGTACTTAATATAGTTACATACATTGTTACACATTTTTTGATAACTGTGTAAGATAATAAAAAATAACATTTTATTTTGAATCTTCTTGCAAAAAGATCTTACTGTATACTCGTTACATTTGGTTTCGTGAAAGTTAGATACAAATATTTTATATCGGTTGTATAAATATGATTGCGTCATTGAATAAAAATGCATCAGTCTTTAATATTACGGGTCACATTGGGTAATAGGGAGGCATTATCGGCTCCTTATCATAGCCGAGTGTGAATGTTTATAAGCGCGTATCAATCGCATACCTTGTTATGTTAGCGAGATTCTTTGCTACAATGGCCACAGTACGTGAAGCCGCGTTTTTTTTTGCGCGGCATGTTCTTAAATCAAACCGGTAGGTACTTATTCGTACTTATTCCAATTCTCATTTGATGCTCACGACTGTTATTGCGCTTCGTCTTAACATAATATAAAAAAAAAAACAATAAATACTTACGCTAATTCCCACGATGCAAACACAATACACAACTAGAAGTCTTATTATTATCACTGTATTATTCAAACTTTTATCACTACAATATTATGTAAACTCAATGCTACTTGTCAGTTATAAAGTAACTTTATAACAATACAAGAAACCGGCGAAGAATAAAAATCAATATGAAACGATTCGCAAAACTACGTAAGTAAGTATTTGCTTGAAAAACACGGGCCGAGTATCAAAACAGTAATAAGTTGCTTGTAGTTTAATAACCCACTGAGTTGTACCGTCTAATATCCATTTTCCTTCATGTAGACTATTGTTGTATTTGTTGTTATTTTATAAAATCCAACTACCGCGCCACGAATCTGTTGACGAAATAGTCGCGTTTGACATTTGAGCCGAGCCCACTGCGATTGGAATCCGTGGAATGTCAAATATTTTCAGTGCTGCCATCTGTGTGAAGGAATCTCACTTGCACGGACGGCGGCAAACTGGACTGCTTATCGAGTACGTTGTTAGATAAGACTCAAATGATCTACATTACCATCGATGTTTACATAAAATAGGAAACTTTTTAAAATTAAATCCTAAATGATTTGCCACAACGAATTATATTTTCACTGGTTTATGAGAAAGTGCCGCAACAAGTTTGCGATGTGTTGGAATGCGTCCAAGTTTATGCCGCCGTCGAGTGACTTCACGGGCGCAAGCGTGATGGCAGGCCGCGTCTGAAGCAGGGTTATCGACACATGGCGTGGAGGCGAAAAGTAGGGTCGGTATTCTTCGCACCGAGTCGCTGTGCATGTACCGTAGCATAACTGGCTGTTATTGTCTCGGTTCGTTACTTTATATCTCAGGCATTGTATTATAAATGATTTAATTTCATTTTTAGTTCTTATAATTCTTATTACATTCATACCGTTTTAACGAGCCACTTTTTTGTACGTCAGTGCCATCTGTTTGCGAGGTTATGAAGTTTTGTTTTGTACTGATGTACCTTGCACTAAGGGCTTATATGGAATTAAGTAAGATGACGCTAGAAAGTCTTACTTTATAAATTTACTATGATTTTTGAACACGCTTTTAATAGTGTTACATGTCTAATATCCCTAAACGATTTCCTTCATTATTTCAAAACATGGTATAAGGGTATGTAAATAAAAGATTTATGTGACACATAATTAATATATTCTAACACAAGAATACAAATTAAACGCAACAAAACACAGTTACAACTGAATACAAGCTATAATACATTGACTAAAATATAGATAGATTTTAAATCTACAAATATGTTAAAAATAAGTCAAGTCGAAGGTAACAAATGACCACTTACAATTTAAGGTAGTGAATAACATTTAAATTCAATCTTTACCCAGAGAGGATAAATAAACGATTTATCATGACATAAATATATGATTACAAAAAAACTTAAAAATGTTAGAGACGTAAGTATTGAAACATTACATTCTATAAGTGTTAGACATATTTGAAAGTGTTAATTGCATAATATTTTTATAGCTAATTTAGTATGTTTCTGAGCCCTACATAAAAATCATATATGGCAAGATTGTAAGAACTAAAAACTCATATTACCAACAAAAAACATTTAAAAGGTATTTGCTGTCGTTTGTTAACTAAGTAACCTGTTAAACCTTTTTTTGTAATATTTATTTATGTGCCATGTGTATAAGCTTTTTGCTGACATGGATAATTTATTCAAATAGTGGACATTTTCTATCATAAAATTTTACAATCTATTACGGTTCATTCTTAGCATCAACATAATGTTCTATACATTGATATAAAATGCACATAAAATAACAATATCTGTGAATAACAAAAAAAAAAGTAATTTAAAAGACAAAGTCGGTAATATAACAAGTGACGTAGCAAATTATTGTACACAGAGACACTTGTGATATTTGCAATTACATTTAAAATTATCATTATATAACTTAACAGTCTAGGACGAAAGTAATAGACCTAGTGGACTCTCTTACAGCGGTTTAAGACCATAATTCATTTCATCACATATAGGTATACTAAATTATTTATAATTTACTTAAAACTACACATCTCACTAGGGAATCGGGATCTACGTCTAATGATAAATGCGTTAAATCTCTTTGGTTCTTTTTTTTCTTACATTTTTTTATCTGTCAATATAAGATGTCCTAAAGATCATAAAAATATTTCTATTTTCATGCAATAAAAAGTGAATTTTATTGCAATTTATGTATTTTATTTCATCTTATAATGCCTTATATATGTGTTTAACGTATCTATTAGGGAACGGGTAATAAGATCAGTGCACTATAACAACTTAAATTTTATAGTGATTTAAACATTTAATACGAATATAACCTACACAAGTACTTTATCGATGTAACAATCATTATATAAATATTCTGATCTGGATACACAAATATATATTTCGTCTTAATATTACACTTTTAATATTTCAGAAGATAAAATTAAATATACCATCTTTGAGAACTTTATTTGACTAAAAATAATAAATTAACGATTTTCTTTTTATTTTTATCACCAAATAAGTTTAAACCTAGTTTGGAATCTGAATCCAATAAAAAAAAACAATAAAATATATTAATTATATCAAATCATCAAATAAATAGCTTTTTAATGAAGTTAAAATAAAAGTAAGCTTAATATTAAATGCAAAGCATAGTATTGGGAGAATGTTTACGACTCAGCGGTTTCTCATCTATTCTATACATAATAATCTCGTAAATTACAACTTAACATAATTAATATATTATTAACAATATTTCGTAATACAATAATTTATGTGAAATGGGATCATCATAATACTTCCATGTCATGAATTCTTCATGATAACATGATTTATATCTTAATAAGTAGATTAATATGGATATAACTCTAGTCCCAGCTAACTCGATTATAATAATCCCTTTACATTGTCAATCGTTATACGAGTTTATAGGTATAATTGTTACATTAAAAACTATAAGGGGACGGTTCAAACGCGTTAAATAAAACACGGTGTTATTTAAATTATTTAGAATAGCAATAACTTTGGAATAACATTACAGAGGAATGTCATCGGTAAGGAACTATTAATAGGTATAATTATATATTGTATTGATTTTATAATAACGTTACTTTCTCTTCTATTTAGACTAGGTATACCACAAGTTTCAATCGTCATATAGACGCAGCGTCAACAAATTTCATTCATATATCTTCTAAAATATAGTTTTAGCGTAGGTGATTGAATGAGGAACGGGAAACGTAGGTTCTACATACGATTTTGTCCTGTGACTATACAAACTCTTGGTAGGCATATAGTATTCGTAATAACTTTGAATTAAGACTTTATTACGTCTAAACATAAGGTTCTAAATTCCTAACTATGGATTTTAAATATGGCTTTACTTATATGAAAAAAAAATGGAAACATATTTGTCACGGTGGTAACATGTTTTACTGCTAACAGTTGTTTTATATAATATATAAAACAACTTTTTATTTTAATACATGTATGTGATTTCTATTTATGAATAAATTTAAAGATAATTAAAAAAACATCGACAAAATTTTTTCAACTACAGATACCTACACATTTTCACAAACATTTAATACTTTAAGTGTAGGTACTTTAAGTCTACGAATAATGTTCTATGTTATTGAACGAAATGCTAATGACTGGGTAGGTCTTTATGGATTTAATCTGATATTCATGAAGGATGAAATTCAAGCATATGCTTCGACAGAGCGGGTCTATTGTGAATGAAAATTACAAAAGAAATGTTGCTAGAACTCCATATTCCGGATAATGCAGGTAAAAATCCCGCGAATATATAATTCCTATATTCTATATTGGAATTGTAATTGAAGTTTTAGAACAATATTGTTTTAATAATAAAGAAATAATTATATTTATATTACACGACTGTTGAAACAGCAATGGTCATTTGAGACCCAACGTGTTCTTGAGGACAATTTGACCAAAATTTTATTATGGTAATAACTTTTATTAATTACCATAGTGAAAAATTGAAGATTTCTATAATAATTGCTATTTATATTCTACAAATATTTTATAGGTTTATTTTATTAAGTAATATATATACTATACTATATTCGTTTTTCACAATAAATATAATTTAAAACTAATAAATAACTACATATTATAAATTAATATAAATGATAATTATAACAATAATAATTTTAATAATATTTTCATTTTAATGAAAAGAAAAAATCACTAAATACCATTGTATACACCGTATAGAAACTTTGCAACCAAAGAATTTTATAATAATTCTTATTAATTTTGTTATAGAAATAAAGATATAAATTACATTATTATAATTAATTAGCAATTAAATATATCCCCATTATAAGAATCGTAAATACCTAAATATAATTCTAACAAATTGTAAAATGATATGTCGCTATATTAATTATATGTTACGGGCTCACAAGGTTTTAGAGATCATTTAAACGAATTGACTGCCATGAACCATTATGCTATAAAAATTTTATATTTATAATGTTGTTGTATGAAAACCTTTTTAAGCAATTCGCATAACCCGTAGCATATAAACTTACGCGTAATTAAAGTTTATCATCAAAATAAATTCTGAATATGGAAGGATTTATTTCAATTAAATAGGCCATATATATATTCGTTATATAAGCAAAATTATCAAGGTTATATATAATTTACATCAATTTTAAATATAAACTGAAAAAAATCACATGTTCATTCATAGAAATAACTGCCTGACGAAATTTAGCGGTCTGTCTCCGGAATTCAATGGTCTGTGATCTATCGTCGGATAGATCTCAGGATCGTATGTCATCTGCAGCGGTCTACTAGATGAGGATGCTGCACACTTGCGACACGTACTGCGTCTGACGCCCAACGGTCTGCGCCACCACCACATACCTTCTATTGAGGATTCGTAACTCTCTTTATCTGAACGACGCTCCGACCAAGATGGTTCATTGTCGCATGGCGTCACTGGAGCACTACGGATTGGTTTTGGATCGTAATATGACCTGTCCTTTGATAGAGAGCCGCGTCGCTGTAATAGATATCAAAATTATATAAATATTTATGTAGATATCGCAAAATTTGTCCATTTTTTTTATCATAGCAGATATTTGTTGTATAATCCAAAAGGTTTTCTATTGCAATATATTAATATAAGACAGTTTTTATTCCTCCAAAAACTTTAATGTGAATAACACTAGATTTAGTTGTCGTAAGAACCTTACTACCTTCCCTAATATTCCTTTCAATGTAATTAGATCTAAGACTTTTGTGAGTATTCATTTAAATGAAACTAATATCTTTCGGGTTATTTTATATTGTAAACTTCATACTCCCGACGTTTCGATTACTTTTCAGCAACCGTGATCATGAGCAGACGAAATTTGTCTGTATAATCCGAAAAATATTACTTTCATCGTTTCAATGGTTCTAGAAACTTCTAGGATTTCTTACCTTGATGACATTGAAGTTGGGCAACTTAAAGCGTCACACTTCCTGCAGGAATTTCACGGGACAGACTCCCTGGCGATTGTCTCCTGAACGAATCATGACCATGCCGTCCAACTCATCACCAACTTGAATCACTATCTGGTCTCGAAGAAGCATTAGACCATTATCACCATCGGATACCTGAAAGTATTTTAAATAAGGAGTTATTAATACTATTGTGGCTAGAAAACTATTGTAGGGTTATACTTTTATACATTACATTGGTTTAATGAGATCTAAGATTTTCGCGAATACCCATTTAAATGAAACTAATATTTTCGGATTTACTACGCGTTTTTATTTTTGACTATAAACTACATACTCCCGACGTTTCGGCTACTTTACAGCAACCGTGATCACGGGCAGATGAGATGTGAGTGTCACTCACAGTAAATGCGAAAATATTAGTTTCATTTAAATTAGATTGGTTTGAAAACGATAACATTACGAATGTAAGTGAAAGTTAGCAATTTTTCTCAATTCATTTGTAAATTATTTGTCTTTTAAACTTTTTTTTAAAATAATGTTTAGTTTATAAAAATGTTTTTGGACTGGTCCGTAGATTAATTTACAGATTGTTTAACAATTTGTAGACTACTTTGCATAACCTGTAAGTGGAATAGTTTACAGACTGTTTGGTTATAATCTCTTATTGTATTTTTGAAGGAGAAGATGACAGAATACTCTGGATTCTGGAATACTATACTTTTCGAGTAAAAACATATTGTTATTCTAATATTAGACTATTTAGATAAATGTGATATGTTATCTATCATAATTTTGTTAATTTTATGAATCATATGTATCGGCTTTTTTATGACTTAAAAAAGACTTTCATATCCTCAATTCTTTTTGAAAATTAACCGCAACACGTCTTTTTAAGTAATTCAATAAGAAAGAAGTCGATATATGTATGACTTGTAACAGAACTATCAATAAAAATTGAATAACAAACTAATCAGAATGAAATCCAAAGAAACTGAGCAATTAATCTATACAAAAAGTACCAAAATGTTTTACAAAACTTTTTATTAATTCAAGATCTTTGTAAGAAAAAGAATTATGTATTACCCATTTCATTCGGTGTCATGCAAAATGTACATTTTATTATTTACGACCATTATGGGTAACTGATACGAGCGAAGTACTTAATCGAGTTATCATACGCCAACATGCTCTACATCATATTGGCAAAGGTCTAATGCTCTTACACTGGTGGACTCATATTAACTAAATGTAGTTAAGAATCACCGCTAGGATACTGGCAGTGAAATTAAATTTCGCATTGATATTGATTGATTCATTTTAAACCTAAGATTCTAACGAAGAGATGGAGAGGCACACATAACAAACACGAAACACACATTCATATACATAAAAACTTCTTTTTTGCTCGAATTTATATAAAATACTGATAATTTTTCATTTACTTTCTTCGATTTATAAAATAATATAAGCCTTATAATTTCTATAACCTAATAAAATCGAGCCACAAATTCCTAGAGTTTGGCATTTATTCCTTAACATAACTCAGCATACTGGCACAACCACATCACTACTGGTATGGTTATAATAGTATTATAGAAATGCGGCATTAAATTAACACCCGTTTGAGGTTTCGTGGTTCACCATTTTAGAGCTAATTTCACTTAAATTAAACCTTATTAATTTATTTTAAATTATATAGAGTGCCTTTATTGAAAGAACTATCTAAATTTTATAGTTTTTTATTTTTTTTAATACAAAAACATAGCAAAATATTTAGGACACTCGTAGAAAAAAATTAAATCAAAATCATTAAATTTGCCAGACACTAATTAGTAGGATTTGACTCGTCAACCTTGATTCTGATAGCTTAAACGCTTTTAAATTGTCCGTATTTTGTCCGTGATGCAAATCTTTATTCAGTTAATGGTAGGTACAACATGCAGTTAGTGTATAACATCGCTTCCTTAAAATTATGTGATAATATGTGAATTGCAGTATTTCTTATATTTTGATAATAAAAAACAGTAGCGGCACTGGCATTAGCAAGAATCTATGTAGAAGCACTTTGAAACATCAGAATTATTTTACTTATAATTTGAAATACGGTCAATGTTTTAAGTTTAAACATTGCAATATAATTACTTGGAAGACGATAAATGAATTTAATTTGCTAATCCCGACGAAAAACTGTCTGAACACTCTAAGATCGCTCAAATTAGTCCTTTAAGTAAAACTTACCTGTAGATTGTGAGTGACCTGCAGTGGTCTTTCTCCGGCTTGCAGTTTGGTGCAATACTTGGAGGGAAAGTATCCGATCTTGCCCAAGCATTTGCCCTTCCACCAGTCGGGGTCGGAGGTATCAATAACGGTGACCTTGTAACCAGCTTTGAGGTCCAACTCATCAGCGTGGCGGGACTTGAAGTTGTATAGAATCACGTATAGATTTGTTGGCAAGAGTCGTTGATGCTTCTGTTAACAACAATATGTACTATAACAACAATATGTAATACAGATAAAGTAAAATAAAAACCGAATAAATGTTGCTGTACAAAATTTTATTGATCTCTTATTTATATTTTGTTAAGATAATTAAATAAAATAAGGTTAGTGCAAAGTTCACTAGTTTCAGTTATAACACTGCAAGGCCTAATGGGTGCTTGATTATATCTCATATACTGTATGTGACAAGAATTCAGAATATCTGAACAAATATGTACTTTGAAAGTAGAGGCAAAACAAACACTAAAAGCTTTAAAAAAGTGCACATTCATAGCACAATCGTCAAATACATCATCATAGAAAATCTTTGAGTTATAACTTCTACGCTCACTTTGTATTGTGTTACCGTAATATTTAACTTAATTACGCTCTACACGGATATTTCAACGAGAAATATACACCTAATAAGACTTGTTAGCTCTGTAAACTAATCTGCAGCGTAATTCTAACACCAATACTTCACCGATATCACTTACTAATGGATTAGAAGCTTTTAAAACAACATTATAAACTGAACATGTGAATATTTTATATATATTTATAAAAAACACAAACAAGATTTTTATGATACCAAAAACAAAATGAAACAATACGTACTGTTTTCAATAATAATTATAAAATTTCAAGCAGTGTTGTGATGAGTTTTTGCCGTCTTTATAACATTTGAGCTATCGCGTCTACTTACGCTGGGCTGTTTGACGGGCGATGGGCAAGGGCTTGCACTGTTTGATGAAAGGCTTTTGTCTGGTTCATCAGGCAATTCGACGCTGCTCATACGACCTCCACGAGCGCTCAATAGTTTTCGACTATGAACCGGCGATGATGGGGCTGTTATCATTTAAATGATTAGAACATGATATTAGTTTAGACCTTAGTCTACTTAAAATTTTGTTACATGAAAGATTTTTTAATACAAATATAGCCGATAATGGATTTTATTTTTTAGATGACACTGCAATCTGTTATTGGAATGTTAGAGTTTTATTTTTACAGGAATCTAGTGACAAGATTGCTTTTAAAGTGGATTGAATTGAAGAGCAAGACCATTTTATGGAATCTTCCGATTGATTTTTATGTGGCTGGATAAAACTAAATGGAATGAAGTTTTACTATTTTCATTTTGTCATATTGAATTTATTTGTTTACATTTTTTTTTCAAACTTTAAAGAAATAACCATTTCATTTATCTATTAAAACACATTTATATATTATAAGAGTGTGCATATAAATTTAAAATAATGAAGTTAATTATTTTACGTAATAAATAAAACATATATGTATAGTGTATACATATAACACATTTTCATAAGAGAAAGTTGTGTGGTGTAAAAGTGATTTATAAATGAACATGCAATAAGATTTTACTTTGGAATTGTAAGACATTTTCATCAAGAGGCCAGTGAAACCATACTATGAAAAAATATGACAAACAGCTTTTGAATTAGAATTCATTTTATGTAATGTTGCTTCTGAATGTTTACAATTCCATGTAAAATAAAGTTTGAATACTACATATTCTAGCCATTTACTTACATATAACAAATTTTGTATTATTTTAATAAACGTACATGATTGGGTATGGTTAAATTGGTGAGTCAAATGGTTACTTAATTTATAAGAGCCATATCTCATGCTATATACTCTGTTGTCACCTAGAAAAGAAAAATAAATTAAAAACATGCAAACCAAAAATTATAAAGTGATTATAGACACATAAACCCTTATTTCTTGAAAGACAGGAACATTATAACAAATTGGTAGTGTTTGGCCAAAATCAATAGAAAATATTTGGAAATAAACTTGAAAGACCGAAATGCAAGATATTTGGTTATCACGAAACGACGAAGAAAGCGAATCTTAAGGGAATTCCATAGAGTGAAGGCAGACGTCTCACTAAGACACATAAAAGCTAAGCCAAGGAATAGTTATAAGTGTACAACAAACATTGCTTGTGGAAAAGACATCGCTTTATTGACAAAACAACAATTCTTTTAATGGGCCCAAAAAACGTGTAACCATGAATAAATTTATATCAAAATAGCGTTTGTAATGACAATAAGTAGATAATTCTTTTGTATTTTCAGCGGATAGTACCATGAAATAGCTGAAACCATGCCAACTTCATGTTGCAATAAACAATCGAGACTTACAGATCATGTTGAACACGTTACAAGAGCAATAAATTTTAACTCATTATTTATTCAGGAACTAGGCAAAAGACGCTATTATTCAGCTCTAATGAATTGTTAATAAAAAATTATTAAGTACCATAGATTCATTGTAAGACAATAAACAAACGCAGTTTTGAAGTTTTAATATAATTTCAAATTACTTATATGCTGTAATCAGTCATGGTTAGTGCGAGATTGCATTTTGGACCTAAAAACTATAATTTCAACGTTTCTTATTGCAATTTCTTAAGTTTTTTAAAAGGAACAATTTGGAAAGGTTATTCGTATAGATCCAAAATGTAACTTCGCACTAATCAGAGTATTGTTTTATAGGCTAATTGTATAGGTTTAGTTTTTTGGGCCCGTTTTGTTTACTAGCGATGTTCGTACAAAGTACTCGGCTACCCTGCGAGGGTTGGTCTCGCGGGCGTCGTCGCAGCTCCCCGCACTCGGGTGAATCCAGCGAGAGGCTCTTCATCCTAAGGTTCAACTTTTGTCGTCTCGGCGAGTGTGGCGCTATAACAGTCATGCAGTATGAGCATTGGCTATGTTAAATGCGTGGAAGTATTTCTTGTATGGATATAATGATATGTGCTGAATTATTGTGTGAACTGTAAGCTATGTTATATTCCAATTAAAATCATAAACTGCAATACATTAGAGAATAGGTCATATTGACCGTAAATGTAAGTTGCTATACATATATTTAATTGTCATGAGGCGCCTTTTTCAAGACCAGTTTGTATAGATATATATGAAATTGGTTTTGAAAAAGTTCCGTTATGTTCATGCTAGCTCGTGTCACACAAAGTTGGTAAAAACTTAAGAATACATATCAAGTGCGAAAGCTCTGCAAAAAGGTCAAAAATATTAAAAAATATAATTAAATACAAAACATGGTTGGTTGCACGATTATGGGACTGAATGGAGTTTACTTGACGAAACCTACTGATAAATAATAAAAACAAACTACTATATACATTCACATGGAATCAAACTTTATATATAATACATTATTAATAAAAAAATAAACTATATAATATTTAAATTTAAAAAATCCTTAATTCGTCATCATTATATTGGATCGATATATTAAAAAGTGTCAAACGAGTGAGATCAAATAACATACAACGAATCTCTCAACATAGACAGACTACAGGGATTCGTTTTAAATTAATATTGATACCAGGTAATGGACTGGTGCGGTCAGCCTGCCTCAACATTTGAGCACTCTTGGAGTTCCTCATTGAACCTGTATGAACAAAGTAAATACCATCTAATCTATGTTTTCAAACTAGTGATTCTATAACCAAATGTATCGGTATCGCCCTGTAAACTCATTTCACTAAAACAGAGGTGACGAAGCGACCAGAAAGAAAATAATTAATACATTAAAAACCAGAAGTTTTAGGGTTTATTGTTATGATGTTTTGTTCGGTGTCTATATATGTGTTAGTACCAATTTGGATATTGTGGCTAGTGTATTTACATTTCTGTTCACTCGTGCAAGTGAAAAATATATGGCTGTGACTGAAATAGAAATCGTCGAATACATGCGATCCAGCACGACACGCGTGAAGCCATGCACCACTTACATACATCCAACACCCGATTGAGGATATAGGCGCTTTATATATAAATGTAAAGTGCATACTGATAGAGGTTCCAAAAAATAAAGCGACTTAATTCTGAATTTTATTTTAACAGTAACAATATTCATATCACAGAACGCGGGGCGTTTCGGGGCAACAGTGATTCGCGACGCGGCTCGCGGTCAAGACGGTATTTGTCTAACAGCTAACGTCTAAGAGACGAATCAATCATTAAAAATTGTTTATGTGACTGAATGAAATCATTTTTTCTTGCGAACGCTGGCCGTGGGCTTGAGAATCGAAGGTGGGGGATCGCCGTTCTCATTAATGAAACATAAAGGCTGTCCGAAAGGTCGGGTTGTTGTCTCCTCTGATTCTGTAAAGATAAGGGGCGAACAAAAATAAATAAATAAATAAAATAATGTAATACATATGATACAAAAATAAAAAATAATAAAAATAGGAAGAATAAAATGGAGATGAGCTTGGAATAAATATAGGATTGTTTATATCCATGACGTGAGACATCCAGTGGAAGGACGGGATTAAGCATCTAGAGCGTGTTTATCGAGCGCCATCTAGTCACCCTAGTTGGAACTAAAACTGCTAACGCGACATCTAATACAGAAAATAAATAAACACAAAACATAAAGTCACACAACGTCTTGAGGCATCAGAGTCCATTAAGAAGACGGGACAGACAAAGCTCGGTTGCGGTAAAACAGAGCGAGGCTGAGTCAGCCGGCGCGTACTTTCCGGGAGTGAAACGGATCGGTGCTGCGGCGAGCCGCGGCGAGACTTCGACCCCCACATGGACAAACTCTTGACGCCGGCGAACAGCCGCCGCCGCATGCCGCCTTCAGGCCGACCAGCCGCGCCTACCGACAAGCATCGCTCAGTACTCCGCATCCCTCACCCCGCACCCCGCACCCCGCGCCCGACTTGAACGATGCGTGCAAAACAAATCGAGACTACTGAAAAGGATCGCAAACGCGCGTTCGAGCGGAGAAGCGAGCCCGGGTGCGGACCAGACCTGAGCTGGAGGCGATGGGCTGCGACGCCACCGCCAGCCCGGCGCTGGGCCGCGCGGGGGAGCGCGCTGCCGGCGGCTCCTCCGGCGCGGACACACGCACTACGGGGCCCGCACCGCCCGGCTTCGCTATTTCGTTGGCTCGCTTCAGAACTTGGTAGGTCTGATCTTCCTCTGAGCGAGCGAAAAGTTACATGAGGACGCGGTTCTACGTTATTATTATCAAGACATCGCCAGTGACGAGTTAGTGTTTAGTTACAGCTCTGCAAAATTATCTGTTCTTTGTCTGGAATGACAGTATGTATTTTGGCAAATAGATTAGTTTGTAGATGCAGGACAGGATGAACTAGGGACAACCGCACTAACTCATACTGTACCCTCATCATTGTAGCTATCAAAATCATCGTCGAACTCGACTGATTTCTTAAAACATATCTTGGTGAGTCTCTGTCCTGGCAGCCAGCCGACGTGCACCCCTGAATAATGTGAAGTTAGTGTGCGTGTCCGTATTGCGGCTGTACCTAATGATCTATTCGACTTGTGGCCAATATAGTCGTATGCTGCCTGTGTTTTATAGTATTGTTATATGTGAACCGAAATTGATAATAAACTATGCCGCATATAATATAATTTACAGATATTTCAGTGTACGTTGAAATTGCACATCATACAGCGGTAAAAACAGTGCCATATAAAATAAACTAATTGAACCGTAACTTACCATCCGAGGACAATTTAAAGAAAAGCTTAATTTTGTTAAAAAAAGTTTAACGATTAATTACAAATTGAAAGATAATTTTTTATTATGAAATTGAACTGTATAAATATATGATATGTATATCTTTAGTTCAAGTAGAATTCATAAACTTACTTTCTTCATCAAAAGCGGATTCTTGCACCCTATGAGCCTCTATTTCCGAGGTGCTCTTCTGCCTGCGCAGGAGTTTTGATTTTGTCTGACACTTTCCAACTTGCGGCATGCAATCTGTATGCACGTTCATTTTGCACATTCTGCATCGTAGACCCTGTCTTGTGTGCCCTAGGAAAATATTCACAGTTATTATTATACAATATCTGTCGAAAAGAATAGTTTCACAATTATTATATTACCAAAAAAATAGTTTTTTCTCAACTTATGATGATCTTAGTCATGAAAAAATCAAGAAAAATATACTTGGAGTTAAGATTTCGTAAGTTTTTTTTAATTAATAAAACTATTATAATTACAAATGACTTCAATTTACTTTAGTAGGTTAAAATAATAATTCAAACTTTGTCTACAATCATTAATTCCGAGGACATGACTGATAATTCTGTTTATATATTTAAAAGAGGTTAGTAACAAAAGTGGTGAAATGTATAATAACCTGAAAAGATATATTTTTCATCTATTCAAATAAAATGATCGATTTGACACTAATAACGATTTAATAGTTGACGGCCGTTACTATGACCGTGTATTGTGTGCCATATGGCAGAAAGAGCCATAAGTTTCGTTTGATGGCCTTTCAGAAAAAGTTGTGACGAAATCAAATAATATGTAAGGGGAATATTTACTTTTATTATAGCATTAAAGATGTACACTTGAATCTATATTAATTTTGTTTTTTTTCGAAATAATCAATCGACTAAGCTACCGCGCCCATATTTCCTACTTTTAAAATGTAACCGATATGGTTTTATTTTAAATGAATTGACCACAAAACCAAAAAAAATGTGTTATAAATATTATAAATGCGAAAATTTATGACGATGTATGACTGTTTATTACAATTTAATTTAAAATTACTGAACTATTCTTGATTAAAATTTGCAAAAATATAGCTTTAATGCTAAAGTAATATTTAGGAAATATTTATTTTCCAGTCGGATCACTATATGGTAGACGTATTTTGTATTAAATCACATGACAGCAACCTGAAATAAACTGAAATTGTTGCAATGTTTTTGTATAAAACATTATTTTCCCTCCTAACCAAATTCCAAAGTCTAGGCGATGCAATCGAGGGCAAAAGTTAGTACTTAATAAATATTTTATTACGAACTACTAACAGGAACTTTTATTGGTCGACCTCGGCCGTGGCCTTCCTGTTATAACTTATTCATTAAAACTTTATCAGTTTATTGTCATTGATTGGAACACTGTCGCGTGGTTGATTGTTATAAAGTAAAATGAACGTAACAAGTTAAACAATTAAAATAATTGAATAAATTATTAGTGGCACTTTGTAACATTAATTCTAATTATGGGTTTAGACATCATATTTATAGAGGCACGTTAAAATATTATATTGTAGCTGTTTCTATTATTCCGTATAGAATGAATATCACCAAAACTGGTCTAAAATAACTAAATTCTAGTTCAATTAAATCTCAGGTCAAACACAAATTAATTTCGTGCGCGATTGATATCATGAGAGCATGTTCGTCTAAGCTTGCTCTACGTTTTATGTAGGGCGCACCGTATATGCATATAGTTCACAGCTAAAACAATTTAGTTTATAGATTATGTCATAGTTATCACAATATTTACTCAATTTTATAACAATTCATTTATTATTTACCAGTCCGAATATTTAAAATGATTTGTAAATGTTTATATAGCGAAAATAGCTTTGAAAATTTACAAGTTTTTTATGAAATTCGTTGTATGAACACAATTAGTTTAGTTAAATAAAAATGGTTATAGTTCAGGTAATAATTTGGTATTAATTGATGTTCGTGACAAGTAAAAGTTTAGTCCAAAAAAGCCTGAAACGAAGGAATTTTTTCATCTAATTGCGTAAATGTATATAGAAATATACGTGTTACTTATTATTTTAATGATCTTAACAGTGTAAATTTCTTCTGGGAGTATAAAAAACAGGTTTTAAATTGGTTTACAAATTTTTATCCCACTTTCATGGTTCATTCTAATGAAATGCTGATTTTTTTATACAAAAAGAAGTATAAAGTCATAAACCACATATTAGAGGTGGTAGAGCCTAGCTGTGGTCTAGTTACTACAGCTCGAACATGGGCTGGCTCGACCGGGGAAGTATCACCCTCTCACAGAAAATCGGCGTGAAGTAGACTTTAATGGCTGCGTTTCGTCCGGTGAGTGAGAGAGCCGGTTGCCCTTTCCCTTTTCGCACTCTTTCCTTTCCCTCCCTTTCCCACCTTTTACTCCCCCTTTTCCCCAATCAAGGGCGGCAACACATCTGCAAATCTACTTTGCAGATGTCAAAGGGCGACGGTACCTACCATCAAGTGGGCTGTCTGCTCGGTTGCCCCCTTTTCCCATACAAAAAAAAAACTAATACATCAACTAAAACATGAAGGTTAAATATAATCATCAGTCTGTAAGGGTATAAGTTATACATCAACGAAAAGCAAATTACTTCACGACAGCTAATTCAAATATAATTATAAAATAATTCCTTTATCGGCCTTTGTTATATTTGTTAGTACCAGTCGGCGAACGACCATATCGAATGACATCGTTAAACTTTTTGTCGTCTGCTGATAACGGTATAAAATTAATTACCCTACCAGAGCAACATAAAGGAACAAGCTATAGTGTTTACTCGACTAAACATGAAAATAGATATTGTGACATTGTGACATATTTTTAATTTAAGTTTTATAAAAGGATCGATATGATTCTTACATGTAGCTATGAATTTACGTAATGTTATAACGTTTGTTGAATATTCAACGCGGATCTCTACGACGTCGTTGTTAAATCACCTTACGTGAGGATCATATAGAAAATGCAATCACAATTATACTTTTAGTAAATCTCTAGATTTATCTTTTCTAAAATATACAATTGTGATACAAATGTTTCTTAAGGAATTATTGTGTAGCGTTTTAATTCTGTTATATGACAATAAAATCACATATGTTTTAGAGCGAAAATATTGGTAAAAATTTGGATTGTTTCACTTACCTCTCAGAACTTGCGAGCAGACGTCACAGGGTGTAATTTTCTTGTAGGTATACTCTTGAAAATTGTGTGCGTCCGATTCTCCCGGGCGCATGTCGCGAGTAGCGCCGTTTCTCCTAAAGCGTTATTATTCAAATAACATTAGCAATATCATATCATTGTAGTTTGATATAAATTAAATTATTATAGATGACATTTACAACTATTTACTTCGAATGATTTAGTTACTATTATTAATTTAATTAGCATCCAATACAGATTACGATAATCGGATTACATGTAATGAAATTTATAAATACATTTCATGTCACTGGAAGTCATTATAGTATTTTATCCTATTAAGAGTGTCGCTGTATTAACATCGTGTTGTTTATTTATATATTTCAATAGTAAATGGCTGAAGTCTATATGTAGCATATTCATAATATCTGTTGTAATTTCGAAATTCATTGAGACTTTCTATTCTTTGTATATAAAAATTTTAAATGACTTTTTAATTGTCCAAATGCCGTCATATTGATCTACGTTCAAGGCGAAACGGAATAATTAAGTGGTGATTCGTGCACCTCAGATTTAACAAATCGCTATAAAAAAGCTACATAACTTTACCTGACCTTCAGCTAACATAAGTATGTGATACTCGATTTAAAGTTAGGTTTGGGTGAAATCAAATATAAGTGTTTCTATTGGATATACAAGCATTTACGAGGAGACTGAGGATAAGTGCATGCTAACGGGAAAGCAGAAGAACAAGTCAAGTTTAGAAAGATTTAAGCGTCAAGAACAAGTTAAACGTTCGTTAAAGATCGGTTACATAGGGTCATTATCTACGGGGCTGGATTACCTCATCGCCATAACCGTAGACACCGCGTGGTACATTTGATTTTTTCTTATGATGCAAAAAGAGAGAAACATCAAAATGAACAATGAGAGTGGTTAGTCGCACAATTATATGCACTTAATTCTGTGATGTGGAATATTAAGATTTTATTATTATATTTCTATATACAGGATGAAATTTAAAGATGCAGAAATAGCTACAGATTTATACAGCTATTAGAATTATATTGTTAGATATACTTTAGACTTGCAAATATTTTAATCTATATTAATAAATTATGTTAAAAAATTCAACCTGTATATTATCATACATAATATAACAAACAAATGTTCTACCATCACAGAGTTATGTCGTAAGTGGTTCAATTAAAATACCTGTGTATTGTAATTTAAATATAATAAAAAAGCATAATCAGACATTTAGAATATAAAGAACGACTTACGATGACGTTGAAACAATATTAAGGTTCTTTAAAAATGGTGACAAATTAATATTATATAACAAAACCAGAGTTCAACATAACATTTTACAGTGGCAGGTTGTCTAATTTTCTTATGTAGAAAAAAAAACACCTGAACAAACGGTAAGACTATGAACCTTACTATGAATATTTAAATTAAGTTTTATTCAAATAAATACATGTAGACCTTACTCTGTACGTTTTTTTTATTATTTGAACACACGTATCAATGCTTACTACTCTTATATTATCCAAATGTAACGTATACTTTTGTATTTTATTTACAGTTTTCAGCGTTTTTTATTAGAAGAAGTACTCTTAACAAACTAAAATTACAAATAAAACGAAATAAGCTTAAAGTCCGAAGCTTAGGGTAATAAAGTTTTGTGTTTTTATGAGGTAATGATCTGTTTTATGACCGACTTAGCGTTGCTTACTTATTTCCGGGACATCTTGTATATGTCGGCACTAGCGCGCCAACTAAACATAACTATAACCAACACGTGCACCGATCACGCCACCGAGCGCGTGATTCGATGCCCCACTCTACCCACTACTAGCTGTATAAAAGACGTGCGCGATTATTCTACAGGAGTCTTGGCTCTGACGTGGCGCGGTGCACTAGTTGTACTTAGCCTGTTAACCTTGACTCTTTGGATAATTAATTTGTGAAAACGAATTAATTATTATTCTGGTGTTGTAATTTGGTCCTTGGACTAATTATATCCGATTTCAACTATTATTCAGTTTAAAAGAACTTCATGCCTTGAATTATGGCCCATCCATCTATCCATTTTTATCTTATATTCCTACATCAGAAGTGGGATAGCGATCCACCTCCATCTCATAATCAAACCAACTGCATTGAAAAGCAAAAAAAAAAGCCTCTTTTTGGAATGGAAGCAATTTTATTAAAATTATCAAATAGTTTAAACCAGCATCCCGTGAATCCACCCCTTGTGATTTAGGCCTGTAGGTCGGTTACTGTCCACTTTTCGTATCACTAGCGGACGTTTAAGACTATCCGCTGTTCTGTCTGATAAATGACCAATCAACGCCAGTATTCTCTGCAAATAGATATTAGATAAGCGCTAACCATCTTGTCTTTTGAGTTCTTTGATTATAGTGACGTTCGTACGACGGACCGTCCAAGGTATGCGTAACAGCGTATTTGGCCAGCACCACATTCCTAAGGCATCAATTCTTTGCCTGTCAAGGGCTTCCAGAATCCACGTCCGGACTACGCTTTGATCAGTTTGTGGAGATGAACGGGCTAGCTCATTGGAGTGTATGTCCGGATCATCGTTCACTGATTTTCTAATTAAAAAAAAAGAGAGCGGTAAGACCCCAAAAAAAAAAAGTAAAGAAAAAAAAAGTTAAAAAAAGTAAAAAAAAAAGTAAAAAGAAAGTTAAAAAAAAAAGATTAAAAAAAAAGTAAAAAAAAAAGAAAAGAAAAGTAAAAAAAAAGCAAAAAAAAGGAAGGTTAAAAAAAAGAAAAAAAGTTTTAAAAAAAGTAAAAAAAAAAAAGTTTAAAAAAAAGTAAAAAAAAGGGAGAGTTTAAAAAAAAGAGAGTGAAAAAAAAGTAAAAAAAGAAAGTTTAAAAAAAAGAGTAAAAAAGTAAAAAAAAAAAAAGAAAGTGAGTAAAAAAAGGGCAGAGAGTTGAAGGGCTTACGCCGGTCCAACCGTGTGGCTGTAGGGAATTATAATTCCTGTCCAGCATGAAGGCTATAGGGAATAGTAATTCCGGTCTAGCAAAAGCTATAGGGAATACTAGTTCCGGTCTAGCAAAGAAAAAAAAATGTGGCTGAAGGGAATTATAATTCCGGTCTAGCATGAATGCTACAGGGAATAGTGATTCCGGTCTAGCAAAGGCTATAAGGAATAGTGATTCCGGTCTAGCAAAGGCTATAGGGAATACTAGTTCCGGTCTAAGGCTATAGGGAATACTAGTTCCGGTCTAGCAAAGGTTACAGGGAATTTTAATTCCGGTGTAGAAAAGGTTACAGGGAATAATTATTCCGGCCTAAGCTCTCTAGAGAAATTACTAATGAAATCTTTTGCAGGACCTCAGGACGGATCAGAACTAACTACCATAACTCTGAAGGGTCAGTGTGGACCGAACCAGACACTATAATATTGTCAGGATAGTCGAACGATATTTGAGGCGCGTGCGAGGGCGCACGCATGTCAGCATGGCCGTGTCGGCACTAGCGCGCCAACTAAACATAACTATAACCAACACGTGCACCGATCACGCCACCGAGCGCGTGATTCGATGCCCCACTCTACCCACTACTAGCTGTATAAAAGACGTGCGCGATTATTCTACAGGAGTCTTGGCTCTGACGTGGCGCGGTGCACTAGTTGTACTTAGCCTGTTAACCTTGACTCTTTGAATAATTAATTTGTGAAAACGAATTAATTATTATTCTGGTGTTGTAATTTGGTCCTTGGACTAATTATATCCGATTTCAACTATTATTCAGTTTAAAAGAACTTCATGCCTTGAATTATGGCCCATCCATCTATCCATTTTTATCTTATATTCCTACATATATTTTATCTAACAATTAACTAATTGTTTACCAAAAATAACGCAATAGAGTATATATTAATATCACTCATATTTCTAAGCAATTTGGTTCCGTTTCTTATAATTAGTTTCTTCTTATTTTATAAAACAATGTTGTAGACAGTCGGTTAAATTAAAAATAAAATAATAATATGAGAAAATATTATATTATTAATTATACATATATAAAAAGTGGTGACGTTATAAAGACAAAATAATGAACGATTTTATGAAAACTGAATGTTATCATGGAAATGTTTCTAAGTTTTAATTGATATATCTATGACACAGTTTATATATGTGATATAAATTATTGAAAAAGTTAAATTCAGTTTCAAAGACGTTGGACTGAATTTAATTCTAAGGAGTCTGAACGCTGCAGTATTAAATCCCTTAAGCGTTGAAACGGGACCTAGCTTAGCTTGATAACAATTTAGTAATTGATAATAGGAATGTCTAGACTACTACGAAATAAAAAATGAGACTTCTCATTGTTCTTATGAACCAAAACTAATTAAGCCGAGCAACCTGAACGTAATTAATGATAAGATTAAAATCCGTATCATCAGACCTGATGTCACTTTCGTAATGCGTTTTTAATCTTATTTGCGTCTTTCTTAATTTTATTTTTTTACTTAAAATGCTATCAAGATTGCGAGAAGTTTTTTTTTCTCAAACAATTTGTAATACTTAAACTTCTTTTTCATATTTTATGACTTTATTAGTAAGATTATGTAAGAATGTATGTATACGAATATCTGTACATAATAATTATAAAATTACATTTAAATTTTTCAATAATAATAATCTATCGTATACTTGTAAAAAATATTATAACATTTATAAGCCGCATATACTATATATATATGTATATATATACCTGTATATGTATATGTTATTCATGAATTTCGTAACAGACGTCTAAATTGGAAGTGGCATAGCACAGCATATTTTGTATATACATATAAAGAGGTATGAATTATAATAAAAATAAGTAAAATCAATAATAAATAAATCTGATATGAGTGAACACCACATTAGTTTCATAACTTAGTATGTTTACTTCCCTTAATGGATATAACAACAAAGTAATATAAAATCCTGTTCAATTTCTTGTACGTCGTCAGTATTGATCGGATGTAGTTGTTGTTGTTAGAATCGCTTTAGTTTTCATTTTTATCATAGAAAAATGTAAGTCCACGTACCTACTGTTAACGAATACGTTTAAAATAAATGAAGATATGTACGGCTTAATCTCTCTACAACGTACTAAATTGGTCTTTCTAAAAGACTTGGTCCTGTCCAGAACTAAAATTAATTCACTCTTGGAACGTACTTCGAAGGCAGACCTAGAAGTTGTTTTAAAATTTGGTTAGGTAGAGAGAGAAGCTTAGACGGTGGATGTGAGCGTTTAACGCGCGTTATGTAGGGGTTCTAACCCCTTAAACCTACACCTGGGTCGCAAGTCCCAGGTACTGTTGAAGCTCCTCTCCCTGCAAGACGATAGACCCGGGACCCGCAGTGTGAATCCATTGAATGATAAGAGGTTTCGTCTGGTCACATACATACTCGTATGTACCTATCCTACGAAACTTGAATAGTTGGTACCGAAAAGTATTTACAATCTGGTTTTATAAGTTTAATTTAAATAGATGAAGATAATCTCAAAGCAGCTAGGTATTTGATGGAAATTAAAACATTTGCACCGTTTTTTCTATTCGAGGTATGAATGTATTAGCTTAATATCAAATATATATTTATGGTACATTTATTTGTGCAACGACTATTTCGCCAATCCAAGATAATTTCATGCAGACCCGAATCGGTGACCGTCATCATCACCATCATCATCAGCCTATCAGACGCCCACTGCTGAGCAAAGGCCTCTTTCTCACATGGAGAAGGTTTGAGCATTAATCACCACGCTTGCTCAAGACGGGTTGGTGATTTCAAACTTATAATTGTGAAACTATAAGTCCAGGTTTCCTCACGATGTTTTCCTTCACCGTGTGTCAGTGATGTCTAAATACTCTCAGTATACTGAAAGTTAATCAACGGTAGCATTGAATGGATATATTTATGACTGAATTAAAGTCGTCTATATTTTATTACCCTAAAGGCATGTCTGTTTTTATGACAAACTAGAAGACCTGGCGAACTTCGTATCGCCCTATAATCAAGAAATATCTATTACGGTTTTTTATTTATATTTTTAGAGTTTATCTGTAAGCCATAAATCTCCGTGTTTTGAAGTGCGACAGAATGATTGACATATTAGTTAGTTGTCAAATCTAATGTCAAAAAAAAACGTTTGTATGGGAAATAGAAAAGGGCTGTTTTTATGGTTTTCCCAGTAATGAGTCAATTTTTTTCAGCTTTTATACCTTCCCTGAACCTCCACGAACATTTCAAGACTAAGATAAGATAAATCCGTTCAGCTGTTCTCGAGTTTTAGCGAGACTAAGGAACAGCAATCCATTTTTATATATATAGAAGATTATGAATTTTTTATACATTTGCATATTGAATACATCACTATATTATGTTATAAATATTATATAATATATGTACTAGATAATTTTGTAAGATATTATCAATATAAATTTAGTTTCAAGTATAAATAACATTCTGAAGTCATTCTAAAACGTGGAATAGCTTGAGATTGTGGATTACTTATTTCTAATGCACTCCCTTAATGAAATTGAACGGTATGGTGAGAAAAATATAAATAGTAAAATAACTATTCACAAATCATTGAATTATATATAATTAAATGAAAATGACAGTATTTTAAATGGAATACAGTAGACGACCTCAGTTATTATTCAGTTATAGTGTATAGAAAACTATGGATTTCAATTGAATACTAACATCTAAAAGTGATATGAGTTTAAATTGAAGGACAATAAATAATTAACTATAGTGCACAATTTATCTGATATAAAAGCCTGTTGTGACATTTGATTTAATAGTTAATTTGATTTAATTGGTTAATTTGATAATTGTTTATAGAAATAATGCCTCGACTATGTACTTAGAACTGTCTAGGTACATTAACGATTAATTGTATACAATTTGTCAATTAAATTTCTGTTTTAACTGGAAATCTATATTATATATTCTGAACTTCATCAAGTATGACGAGTTTATTATGATTGCTAAACGTTTGCGCTTTTAAGAATAAGTATACCGTATAAAGTTAAATATGACTCGGTTACTTGAATGTGTGACATGAGTCAAAGTTGATTGTTTTCCGATATTTACTGATTGATACTAAACTGTCGAATAAAACGTGTTAGCAAAGTCAGTAGTTCTTCCATGGAACAGCAATATTATTTCTTCGTAGTAAGCAGTATATTTGATATTTTTATAATTAAAAATAGACTGTGCAAGATTAACAGAGGAACAAAACCGGTATGTCAAATAATTTTATAAACTATTCTTAATTTTTTTATAGAAAAAGGTTTTGAAATAATCTTATAATTTTTTTAAACATTTACCGTAAATAAAATCTATTCAGTCAACTAGGGCTTTTAAATTTGAAAATAATTCAAATTAACGGTCTAGTCAATAGAATTTTATCGATTTATATAAAAAATTTAATTTGACCTTAGTAATATTTCACTTCCTATTAAAATACGTAGGTATCGTCGATATACGTCTAGTGGAAGTCCGTTGGCAGGATGCAATCAAGTTCTACGCTGAAGTACCAACTGTTCAGTCTGATTAAAAAACTGTAAACTACCACTGTATTGAAATGACATAACTATTAATTCGTCACCATCAAAAAAACACTAATATGATGTGAAATGAACTGACATCAAACATTCTGAATTTTGTTATAAATAAAGAATTTTAGGGGTAATATTAAGAAAAGTGGCATTAACAACATACTTGTCGGGTGGTGCAGCATGAGGTGGTGGAGCGCTAGGTGGTTTTAGGCTTCGGAAAGCCTTAAGCCACTTATTCTTCATACTGCCTGCTGACGAAGATGATAACTTGCGATCGGCTGCTGCAGTGCTGCTATCAGCTTTGGCGGCAAACAACTCCCTCTGCAGAAAAAAGACAAATCAGTTTTGGCAGAAGACCCAAATATGGATAGACGTCATTTAAAACCGAATTGCAGACTCGTTAAAATGTTATGCAATTGATTTCTGATGAAAACGATTTTGGCATTCGGACATGTTATAAAATAAATTAGAATAGATTTGATTGATTTCATAAATGGAGATTTATTCAAACGATATTTTAAGAAATATTTATGTACATAATTTTTATTCGAGCTTATTGTTATTCACATTGAACCTCCTTGCTGTCAAACTAAATTTGATCAATAATTATGTTATTCCTAAAATTGTATTTAATATTTAATATCTTAACGTTATGGTGCCAGGATTACTTATTACTTAAATGAAAATATACTATTCAAATAACTTTATTAACTAAACCCATAGTAAATGTTGATTTCTTTGTTTTTTTGTCATTTGTGTTGAGCCACGTTACTACCAATGTGACAGCGTGAAGCCTTTTAAATGGTTCTTTCTGTGACTCGCTAAGAAATAAAACTACTTAACTTATTGCGTCTCTAGGTTACATTTGTAATCTGTACTTGGAAACAGATTACAAATAAATATATTTCTCTGTAAATTGTGATATTTATATATGAAACAAAATTAACATGAACCTACTGTGATTTGTAAATAGAAATTTAATAAAATTATTCCTTTTTATAAATTTATTAACGTTAAAATCAGTTTCATATAATATCCTTAATTAGCAAACAAAATAATATACATTTTACATGAAATTAAAGTATAAAATTACTTATTAGAAGAAGAAAATAAATTTTAATAAATTTTAAGTACATCTTAACATGATGCGAAGGTTTTATATTTTATAAACAGCCATTTCCTATTTCCTCTACAGTCTACATCAATATACAGAAGTAGTTCTAAGTAGAATCCATTAAGGAAGAACGCGACAAACTTTATTACGTAAGCCTAAAAGCTTGGATAGATATTTTAAAGAGAAACAAAATCATTCAACTTTCACGCTTATTAGATTAAGTATCTAAAACATTAATTTTATATATATTTAACTATATATATTTAATGATGTTTTGCATCAAACTCAATAAATAAATATTCATAACCTCGTCTACATGTAAATTAGGTTTTATAATTATTGAAGAAAGTGAACACAACATTGACGAGTAATATAGATAACAAAAGTAATATTTATATAATAATATAAGCCTCTACACTACAATTAATGAAAATTACACTTGAATATAATCCTGTATCGGTTACATTGTTGAGAATAAAAATCGAAATGTACTCAATTAAAAATCGTCCACCAAGTAAGTTTCACACACACAGGAACTTTAAAGTAATAAAAAATCAACATTTCTGTTTGACCTAATCAATGAGATGCAAATTAAGTGTTTTGCATACCCTTTGTTGTGAAAAACTGAATTTAATTTAGGTTTTACCCAAAAGAATAAAAATGGTAAATAGATGAAAAGATTCTTAACCAATCACGAATATTTTGTCCCAACAAATAGGTTACATAACACCTTGTTATTGTCACAGTAACTAAAAGCCACTTCTTCTAATGACTGTTATAAAGCTGCTGGCTGCATGATTGGAATCGTTTCGAGTTAACAAATTGATTTTGATTTTAATTATTTTCATAATTGGAAGCGATTTTTATTTGCTTTGCTTTGCTTATAATATAAATATATCACTTATTAAAACACTACTAGACTAACCTTTTTCATTGTTCAGTATAGTCGAGTTCTGGTGAAAGAAATCGATTGCGGAAACAAAAGATTTATATTTTTGTTATGTTGAGTCTCCTCTATCGGAAGAGGTTGAATGAAGACTGACAAAGTTTAGTGAATGAAAGACAAACGGCACTAATTAATATAAAACCGAACATCTAGACGTTAGTCGACTCAGCGCAAAATTTTAATAAGGTTCTGAGAATAAGAACCCTAGTGAAGAGTGCATCTTAATCAGTATAATAGACTATCCGAACACATGACCTTGAATCACGACTGATAGACGAGATAGTTTTTTGCATATTAATATGAACATTACAAATACAATATGTATTTTTACCAAAATACCTCTCATATAGGACGTGTGAACAATGTTGTTATAAATATTTATAGGTCGAATTTCCAAATAACATTCACTCACCTATGCTATGAAAGGAATTTACAGTAAATTTCATGCTAGCAGTTTCGGTAACTTAAGTCCGACTGAAATTCTACGTAGATTACGTGATATGACAAAAATGTAATATGTTTTAATGAGGTTAACGATGCTTTCCTCGACATAAGTAGAAATATCAATTGTAATTAATCGACTAAATGACTCGAATTAATATTGTAATATATCCCAAAGGTTCAGAATAAGGTTAATGTAGGAAGGTCAGTAGCAATCAGTAAATAAAGTCGCAATAGAAGTGACTTAATCACCATAGGGACGTTGGTGACTTTGAGGTATTTTCATACTTTATTCACCTCGTAAAGAGAGTACTAATTTAAACACGCATATTGGATAATCTATATTAAGTTCAAGATTAGTTTATATGATCTTAACTCCAGATATTTTTAGTTTCAAAAGTCGGTGCAATTCGTCAGTTTAATTCACAGACAGATAGAAACGACGTCAATATACTTTTTTTCAAAAAGCTATTCACTTGCCGAGAACGTTTGTTTTCACTTTTTATTCAGTTATGCTACAACATCGGTACGTTTACTATTTTGTTCGCGTGATAACAGTCAGCTGTCAATCATATGAACTTTCTATCGTTCATTCGTTTTGATAATTCAACACTTAATTTATATTCATATTATCATACATTTATTCATACGGTAGCACTCTCGCTGCCACATAGCTAACCCTCGGGAACTCGGAATCAGTATACGTTAGAAAGTAGCGTGTGTGTAACTTTAAAATGTAACATATCTGTACTAGATATGACGGGAACATTTCGCACATTTATACATCATGAAATAGCCAATAATCATAAACCTAAGTATAATATAAATAAGATTATAATTCGATAATATTTTGGTTTAAGTAAAGTACAGAAATCTGAACAAAAAAAGTTCGATGAACATTATTAGTAGGAAGTTCATTTTAATGCGACGATACTGTTGTTAGGTAATGCATACAAGAGAAACGCAATCCGCTCATAAACGGGACACAAAGTGTTTCCCAAAGACATTACGGTACGGTGTGAGAGAGGACACAAATGTTAATAGAAAATTGTCATTATTGAAGTTTTTTCCTTAATCGTCATTACTAGTATTTTTTCCTATACCGTGTTTATGTGCTCTTGTTTATGGACAGTGGATATTTTGGACAGCGTTGTTAGACTATTTACATGAATATTGGATTAAAATAGAGCAAATTACCTGAAAATTATTATATTAATATTAATAAAATGTATTATTTGGATTAACCGAATTGGCATAGTAATAAAATGAATTCAATAATATGACGACAGATTTACTATTTCACTCTTTAGTCTTTTGAAATTCATATTACAAATGTCGTGGAAATGGAATGACAACTTCCCAGCTTGAGTTTGATATTACTGAATGAAAAACTGTCAAACTGTTAAAAATAATATACGAAAAACGTCATTTATTCAATTTAATACATTTCCATAACTTCAAAAGGTTTCAATATTTAATACATCCAATAAAATCCTTTCCTATGAAATGTCGACTGTTAACCTAAAAATTTTAAAAGGCTTCCCATCTGAAACAATGTCAATGACCAAGAATATATTGACACGTTTCTTATCTATGTCTAACAAAGTAAATACTTAAGTAAGTTACGGTAAGAAGCAAACATTTGCAGAGAAACAAATAAGGTCATATAAAATATTCAACCCTTTTCTCCATTAAAGATTATTTTTGTCAGTTCGACACTTGTGTTCCATTTTAGGTTTCTTAAATCAGACGCGTAGGAATGGTATACGGATTTTCTTTCAAAGAAGTGACCATTTTCAACTTCTTTATACAAATTCATTTCGTATTTACCTTTGTGTAGTCTTTTAAATGTATGTGATTGTATTTATCAAATTTTTGTAGTTTCATGTTATATTTAGAACGTAGTGTTTATAAATCTTTGTGAATCATGTTAAACGATTTTAAAGATTCAAACACGCATAAGATTTAGTTCACGAAGCCTTAATCATGGCGTTGCGTGACCGAGTCTTCCTGTTTCGGTCAGGCTTGATAACAGTGGAAAAGCGATGTAGAATACATTTAATTTAATGACCTAAAAATATATTAGGGTAACTGGAATTTTATCGTTTGAGCATTCTCCTCATGTCATACATATGTATATGTAAAATATAATTGCTAACAAATATATTTGTAATTATTAACTTTCAATTGGATTAAAATTAAGTTTCCATTGGTGAAAATAAGTTTAAGATAAAGACTAAATAAAATAAGCCGCAGAAGACCAGGAATTTTCCACAAATAAATAATGCTTATATACATGTACCTTTGTAAATATTATTGAAAATTATGTCTCAAACTAATAAATACATTTAAAGCACATTTTATTAACATATTACATTCAAATGGACATTATTATTAATCCCTACTAATATTATAAATGCGAAAGTAACTCTGTCTGTCTGTCTGTCTGTCTGTCTGTCTGTCTGCTACGCTTTCACGCCTAAACCACTGAACTGATTTTAATGAAATTCGGTACAGAGATAGAGTTGACCTTGAGAAAGAACATAGGATAGTTTTTATCCCAGACTTTTGAAAGGTTCTCTTGGAAACGCGATATAACCGAACTCCACGCGGCGAAGCTGCGGGCGGAAAGCTAGTATTAAATATAATCTTACATGTTGTCAATAGTTTTGGCTAGTTGTTTTTACGACCGGCCGTCTGCCTGACATCAACCTTCTTTTGGGAATGCATTAATCAGTGATGTCTAAATACTCTTAGAAAGTCCACATGACTCGAAAAAATCACATTGGTACTTGCCAGGATCAAACCCGCGCCCTCATG